TAGTTTATTTTTTATTTAATAATATAATTTTTATACGGATCATAATTAACTATTTTGTTAAAACTCAATAATTATCTTAATTATATTTTAGATTTTTTTATATTCAAAATGAAATGTTTATTCTTTATTTGATTATATTTATCTACAGTTAGTTACGCGAATTCAAACATGAAACTTTAATAATGTACTTATACATAATTTACTTATAATTTTAAATTTTAAGTAATATGCATTAATAAACAATATTTCATGCATAAAAAATAGATTTAAATTTTTTTTATCAAATGCTTTATAATATAGTATAGATATTCTCATAAATATTTTTTTTATTAAAAGACCATAACTATTGACATCTTTGGTTTATTTTTATAACTTTTTTCATTTAACATAACAAGTTTGATTTCCAGAAAATCCTTTGCCTCTAATTTTCATTGATTACAATAGCAAATAAATCAATTTCCTACAACTCACACCCGTTTACACCCTTACTTCAAAATAATAACTTATAAAAATATTATAGTGATATTCGAATTCGACTCACATCATTTACACCCCTACTTCAAAATAATAATTTACGGAAAGTTTAAACTTTGAGAATTGTGCAATTTTAGTCCCCATTCAAGAACTTCATTACATTTTGATCTAAAAACTTTTCAAGGTTAATATATAGTAGTTTATTATTCATTTTAAAATATTCTTTATACTAAGGTCTTAAAAGTTTTAACCACTAAGGTGGTGCCTGATTGGATTGAGCTTAGCTCCAACGGTCAAAAGTAGCAAGAGGTCACAGGTTCAAATCCAATAAGGAATAAAAATCCCTTTGTGGCCACAAAGATTCAAATGCGATGATTTCGGACTATCTACAAAGCAGATGGTCGTCCTGATATTAGTTGGCTCACATAGCAGATTGGATATCTAGGTTAATAAAGAAAAAAAATCTGCAAATAAGGAAAAGTGACACATCTTACTTTTATAAAATTAAAGTAGTAAAAGATTATATAATTATAAATTCAACATGTTTTAGCTACTAGTTTTATTTTTTCAATGTTAATAAAATCGTATTATTTTTTTGGTTCCAACGACATGATTACAATATATTCGGTAAGTGCTTATCGATAAAATTTAACACTATTATTTATCTACCGGGTAAGTTTTTAGTCCATCAAAATGAAATCGTATACAACAATTTACTCGGTAAGCGCTTACCGGGATAAGAGTCATCGTCCTCACTTACCGTGTAAGACTCATGGTTCTTGGCTTGCTCTTACCGGGTATGATTTTTGGTCCTTACCATATTCATCCGGTAAGATAATATGACTTGGGAAGCGCTTACTCGGGTAAGTGTTTAGTAAACGACCCCTTAATCTCTCTAGGTGTTGTCAATATTTCACTATCTTAAAATTTTCAATGTAAAAGTAGACTTTAGCATAAGTATACACCTTAATCTACAATCGTGTTGTAACAAATAGTAATGGTACAAGTATTGAATATCGTTCCCACATAGATGATTATAAAATCTTTCAAAAAGTCCAGTCTTTAAAAATTGATTTCAGGTGGCGAATTCGAAAAAATCTTTTGTTTGGTTGGTTAACTATCAACTACGGAAAATCAGTCGTAAAAAGAAGCAATGGGTGTAAAAGTATGTTAGGACTTAAACAAATGATTCATTGGAAATATATTATAGGATTTTTCTGACATTTTAATACTACTATTAAATTAGTACAATTGTCATTTCATAAATATCCAACTATCGGGTCAAACGGCTTCCCAATAGTATATATAGGTCGGCTTACTATCGATATAACATCATTTATGTTAAATGTCATGAATCTTTATACAACACTATGTTACCATATACCCTATATAAGTATAGAACTTGTTAGGTACTAAATCTATTTTTAACCTTCTTATATTATCCAGAATTATCGTGTTTGTCTTAACTCTTAAAGTTAATGCATTTCATACATAAAATAAGTTGTCAATTAATTTAATGTAATATTCAATGAAATATTTTTAACCTAAAATAAATAGTTAGATAAAAATGCTATATTGTTGGTCTCAAACGGATCTACAAGAGTTTGCAAATTGTTCCATATAAATTATGAACATGTACTATCGGTGGGTAAACATTAAATGCATCAATGGATGAATCCACTAATCATCGCCATTGATGATACACGATCCTCATAAGCACCACTGATAAAAGAAGATTCATTATTGTCACGGAAAGACTAATAAATAATCAGTAGGATCCACCTGACATTAAAAATATGTGATTTTGTATTTTATTTGCTCTTAATGTTGCCATTTTTTATGGTCACGTGTTTATTATCTCAAGCTCTTTAAAAATACCAATGATATCATGAATGCTATTTCATTCGAGGAATCAATCATACAAATGAGTTTATACTTTATTCACCTTTTGAGAAAATATATATTAAGAAATTTACATAAATAGCCATTTCACAAAATTGATTTCACTTTTTAGCTACTTTAGGAACTATTTTCTTTAAATAACCAAAGTTTACAATAAAACTTTACATAAAAGGATAGTTTCTACTTAAAATTTGTTTTCAGGCAAAAAAATAAATAAATATAATTTAAAAAGTTAATTTACGCAAAAAAAAAAAAAAAAAATTAAGAAAAAATGGGACTTTATGCAAAAAATCTTTTTTATGCCTAAAGTTTTTAATTGATTAAAAAAAATACATTTTACAGTTTTATAATTTGTTTTATATCTCTTATTTTTTTATTTTTCATTTTACACATTTATTATATTAAAACACATAAGTGTATATTAACTAAAATACGTTTTATTTATTTATTTATAAATTACATCATTATAATCGTTTCGTCAATACATCCAAAATAAACCAAATATTAAATATTTTTGGATTTTATCTTATATTATTAAATATCATAAATACGTACGAGTTATTTTTAAAATTTACATTTTCTACTTTTATGGTTATTTATTTAATCTGTAATTATAAAGATATAAAACGTAATTACTAAAATAATTATTAAGTTTTATAATATTTAATAATATAATATCAAATTAAAAAATATTTAATATTAAGTTTATTCTGAACGTATTGACGAGACAATTGTAAGATGTAATTTATACAAAAAAGAAACATATTTTATATATATTTTGATTAGGGAAAGTTCATAAAAACCCAACAAACTATTCTATTTTGAATAATTAAGTTCCTGAACTATTTTTTTGAATGATAAAAGAATTAAACTTTCTCACTTTGAATAATTAAGTCTCTTAACTAATTTTTTGAATAAAAAAACCATTAAACTTTCTCATTTTGAATTATTAAGTCTCTGAACATTTTTTTTCTCTAGATTAAACCATTGAACTTTTAAAAAATAGTTACTTACATATTTTAACCCAAATAAGCTACATGTAACCGATTATCTTTTGATTCTCCCTCTTGTGATAGATAAAAAATAGATCAAAAAGAGATAAACCAATGGTAGGAACCAACATCGTGTTAGGCAATATGTAGAATGAACAACGTTGGGGCAATATGAAGTGGCGAGGGGTAGCGATATCGTTCGAGGGATTTTAATGATGTACATTTTGGAAATGGTAAAAACGATTTAAATTTATTTTTACTTTAAAACCTTCCTAGTCAAATACAGTATGCTTGTTTAAAAAAATATGCAGATAACCAATTCTTAGAAGTTCGATGGTTTATTTATAAAAAAAAGGTCTAGTTACTCGATCATTTAATATGAGAAAATTTAATGGTTTTTCATTTAAAAAAACAGTTTAAGGACTTAATTATTCAAAATAGGATAGTTCGTTGGGTTTTTTTTTTTTTTTACTTTTTTCCTTTTAATCAATATATGATTATCCATGTTAATATAATATTTTTCATTTTTCATTTTACACATTTATTATATTGTAACACATATTCATATATTAACTACGATACATAAAAAATATGGTTTTTTATAAATTATATTATTATAATCGTCTCATCAATACGTTTAAAATAACCATAATATTGAATGTTTTTGGATTTGATCTTATCTTATTAAATATTATAAATGCATATGAATTATTTTTAAAACTTAAATTTTCTACCCTTATGTTTATTTATTTAATGTACTTTAATTTTGTTTTTCATTTAACACATATATTGTATTAAAACACAGAACCTGTAACTATGAAAATATAAAATGTAAATACTAAAAGTAATTCGTAAGCTTTGTAATATTTAATAATATAGGATTAAATCCAAAAAAGATCAATATTGGGCTCATTTTGGACTTATTGAAGAGACGATTATAATAATATAATTTGTAAAAAAGAAAACGTAAATTTTTCGTATAAATTTCCCAGATAATTTTATTTTGTGAAGATTTTGATAGTGAAAGATTAACATGGATGAAGATTATGCTAATCCAAAAAACAAAGACAAAGGAACACTAGCATTTATTGGCATTATTATGAGTTTGGTTGATAAAAGATACAGTAAGGTAAGTTGTGAATTATTTATTTATATGGCTGTTTTTTTTATTAACCTGGATATCCGATTCGCTATGCGAGTTGTCTAATTCTAGGAAGACAACATGCTTTGCAGATAGTCCGAAGTCATTGCATTTGAATCTCCGTGGCTACAAAGGGATATTTATTCTTTCTTGGATTTGAACTTGAGACTTCCTAGTACTTTTGACCCTTAGAGCCAAACTCAAACCAATCAGGCACCACCCTTGTGGTTCTGTATGGTTGTTTTGATTCCACATGATTCATTATGTAACTTTGATCTATGATGACTCTTGATCATGAACATAAATTTATTGAAAATATCTTAAACACGACATTTGTTACATACAAACACAAAATTTGGACGGAATTGCAAGTTTTCATATGTGTAATATGAAATTGGTATTAGATCAATATCAACATGTACCAACCGAAAAAAGATGTTACCGATTGAACTAATATCAAGTATCTATACTATCTTATTAAGCAAATTCATCAAAAGTCTTAAAGTCTTAAAATTCTAAATGACCAAGATACCCTTTTCACTTTTTCACCCTTCATCTCCTCACATATACTCATCCCCTCACATGCATTTACCTCTCACATTCAACGGATTTTTTTTAAAGTTATAATTTTAAATTTATATTTTATATCCCTATAATTAGTTAATTAATTAATTTACGTCATTTACTTTTAAATGTTTCATTTTAAACATTTATCAAATTAACATACATAATCGTATATCAAATAAAACATGTTTAAAAAATACATTTTTATTTTAACAAATTACACTATTATAATCGTCTCGTTAATATATTCGAAATGAGTCCAATATTGAATAGTTTTTGACTTAATTATATTATTATATATTATATATACTGTGAAAAAAATATTTTTAATGTTTACGATTTATACTTTTTTTATAGTTATTTATTTATAYATATGCTATACATTTTGGGATTAGACTGTCCAAATTGCACTGTATAATATGTTCTTGGGTTTTTTTGAAATATATATATATATACAAGTATTAATTCAACTTTAATCTGAGCTTCTGGACAAGAAATAGGGTAATCAGTTGAAATTTCATTATAAAACCCATCTTTTTTGGTCTTTTCATAGCTTATGATCTGTCAAATTTGTAATTTTCTTTATTGGTTTTGAGTGTTTATCTTAAAATTCAAGTTTTTTGGTTCTTTGCTCTTGGTATTAATCAAACACATTTGTGGAGTCGTTTAAATATGTTGAATTTTAAATATATTGGATTTTAAACTGTCATACAATTTTTTCATCGATAGTCTGATATTAGAACCATAACTCTTATTTATTCAAATTGTATTAATATGTAAATATCAAATGTAACGTATATCATCGTTAAATCTTGTCTTATAAAACCAGTGAAACTTCAAAATCGTTAAAATTCATGGCTCCCGCCACATTGCACGGGTACACAACTAGTAGTTAGTTAATATATAATATAAGATTTTACGTACCAATTATGATACATAGTATTGAAAATAAAACTTAGGGACCATTTACTAAACGTTTACCGTAAAGTGGGTAACTTTCCTTAACGGATGAACATGACAATGATCAAAAATCTTACCCGGTAAAAACAATGATAAAGATGAAGAGTTTTACTCGGTAAGTGAGGACGACGACTCTTACCCGGATAAGTGCTTACCGGGATTGTTGCACACGATACCGTTTTGATGTATTACAATCTTACCCGATAAAATAAATTATAATATTAACTTCTAAAAATAAACACTTACCCGATAAGCATTTAGATAAACGAACCCTTAGTCCATCCTTACAATTGAATACATAAAAATGTGTTATATGGATACATTTGTAATTGTAAATAAAAAGTTAGAATAAAATTATTTGATTTTCTTTATTCACCGATAACAATATTCAAGATTTACACCTTATCCGAAGCAGTTTGATAACTCGTCTTCTTCCTCAAATCAACAGGAGAAGGGAAATGGCGCTCCTATCTCTGGCGTCCAACAACAAATTTTCTTCCTCTTCTATCTTTGCTTCCAAATTTCCCGATTGTTATTGTAGCAAGCCACATCTTCTACCATTAAGGGAATGCACCAGTAGCAATACCTCCCTTTTCCGGGGAGGAAATAGCAAGATTCCACCCAGATATTATCATTCTAGTGGCAAGACCATAACAGTGGCGGTGGCCTCATTAGGAGGTCTGCTGGGTGGAATCTTCAAGGGTGGGACCGACACCGGGGAGTCCACCAGGCAGCAATGCTCTGCCACCGTCGCACTCATCAACTCTCTTGAATCCGAGTTGTTGTCTCTCTCGGATTCTCAGTTGAGGGATAGGACCAATATCTTGAAGCAACGAGCTCGCCAAAATGCCCAGTCTTTGGATTCTCTTTTACCTGTAAGAACATCTTGTTTCTATATCTACCAATCTGCATATCACATTTGGGACTTGCAACTATATCAGCATATAATAATCTGTTTCTCCCCAATAAGCTCGTTGAACGACATTAATGCAGGGAAAATAGATAATGGACTTCATTCTGCGGGCTGGAATATCAGTCAAGTCCTGTGGGTTCATAACGCCACTTTTATTTGTATATAGCACCTTTTTGTTGCTTAAACTTTCTATTACTATTTGACTACACAATCCTGGTCTCAGCTTTCTGCTGATATTCTCAAAACTCAAGTTAACAAGACAGCTTTCCATTATCCCATAGTCTGCACTTCATCTGCTGAGGCGTTCTATTTGCTTTTCGATTTCTTCAATCCTGTTTTAGACTGATGCTGCACAAGTCCATGAGGCCTGAGAGCAGAGTTCCAGTGAGGGTTGCTAATTCCAGAACAGGATTCTCAAGACAAACACTTTGATCCATAAATCAAAAATCGTGTTATCAACTAGCATCTACAGCTTCATGTAGTAAATTTGGCAAAGTGCATCTGGAAACTGTTGGATCAACTCTGGCAAAGTGCATTGGGGATCTTTTGGCTAGGCTGGGTATTCTACTTATGCAGACAACCCAGGCAAGATGGCCCTAGAATTGCCATCCCCAGCGAGTCTTGGAACTTCATTTGTATATCTCAAAGGCATGGACATCCCTTCCCCGTTTGGCATTGAGATCTAGAAAAAGGCCCAAGGCCCAATCTTCTATGGTTGCTGCAAATCTCTACGACTTAAGCATCAGCCTGTCTGTCTCAGGTCCTTAGCGGTGGCACTTTGGGCTGATCTTCCTCAGCAACATTCTTAAATCTCTAGTGTTGGTCCCCCTTGAGTTTTATAGCTTTAGATGGCTTTCCTTTTCCACGATTTCTACTTTCCATCTTCTTGTGCTTCTAACTAGTCATTACTTTAGCTGTTAGAAGTGTTGTGCTCCATGGCTTATCACTTTAAATATCTTGCAGGAAGCGTTTGCTATAGTGAGGGAGGCTTCAAAAAGGGTTCTAGGTCTTCGCCCTTTTGATGTTCAATTGATAGGTAAAATAAATGATTGTTTGCCCATCCCTTATCAAACTTGAAATGAGAAACATGGTTGCATAAATGTTTTTTGGACACCTAAAACATTAAAATTTCAGTATAGGCTATGTAGAAGAGGTCTCTTGATGTAGCTACTGAAAATCACTTCTTTTTATCTACAGAAGGCTGCTTTTGTGCTTTCACCCTTCTTTGTATATATGATGTAACTGTAGATTCATAGTAAATTCACATATTGTCTAAGCATGAAAGCTTGATGTTCACCACAAATATGCTGTCTTTTATACAATGGCTACTGCAGCACACAAAAGGTTAGCTGCATTTGTGCAAGTGATAAAAAAGTTCTCATTTTGGTTTCGATCATGTAGGTGGCATGGTACTTCATAGAGGAGAAATAGCTGAAATGAGGACAGGAGAGGGGAAGACTCTTGTGGCCATCTTACCAGCTTATTTAAATGCATTAAGTGGTAAAGGAGTCCACGTTGTTACCGTTAACGATTACCTTGCAAGGAGGGACTGTGAATGGGTTGGTCAAGTTGCTCGTTTTCTTGGACTGACGGTTGGCCTAATCCAGCGTATGGCTTGCTCTTTGTTACTCTTTTTAATTAATTTATATATATGGTTATTTTATGATAACATAAGGTGGATAAACAACAAAACTTTGATGTATTCTGTAAGAATATATTCCTGAGGACTCGTACAATTATGTAAACTAGGAAATAAATCTGTGCTGTTATGGTTGGCATTATATATTTGAAAAATTAAGGAAGTATGGTACAAAGATTAGCCATGCAAAGTATATTCTAGATTTCAGATTTATAAGTTGGAAGCATCGCCCTAACAATCAATTATTTGGGCAGAAAATATGACAAGTGAACAGAGGAGGCAGAATTACTTGTGCGATATCACTTATGTCACCAATAGTGAGCTCGGTTTTGATTACCTGAGAGACAATCTTGCCATGGAAAGTAATTTTTATATGCAGCCTTAAATAGGTTATATATATATATATATATATATATATATATTCTCTTGTATCTTTCAATCTCATCCATTCACATATAATTCTTTGTGGTCCACAGAGTGTTGATGAACTTGTATTAAGGGGTTTCAATTACTGTGTCATTGATGAGGTTGATTCAATTCTTATCGACGAAGCAAGAACTCCTCTTATTATATCAGGACCTGCTGAGAAACCAAGTGAACAATACTATAAAGCTGCTAAAATAGCTGCTGCTTTTGAACGAGATATACATTACACTGTAAGGAACGAAGATGGTTGCAAATGTTTTCTTTCTTTTTTCTTCTCCCCATTTCAACATCAAAGTAACCGTAATTGGATCCTTGGCTTCATGATGGACTTCTGTTTGTAACTTAGTCCAAGTCTGTGTTTTGGCATATTGGCATGTACTGGTGTGAAACCCTTGGTCATGAGTTACATGTATCTTACTTTCTTACTTGTAATGGACGGAGCAAAATAGTAATAGTAACAAGAAGAAAAGGGTTGTACTTAACTAGGAAATGTTATGATGCCTTTCCTGTTGAAGTAAATTAAAAAATGTTTTCGTTGGACATAATCCATAAGAAACCATATTTCTCCCTTATGAGCATCTGCCACTTGACTATTCAGTGTAATTCTCATCAAGGTATTTCTTGCAGGTTGATGAGAAGCAGAAAAATGTTTTGCTCACAGAACAGGGTTATGCAGATGCTGAGGAAATTCTTGAAGTAAAGGATCTATATGATCCTCGAGAACAGTGGGCCTCATTTCTCTTGAATGCAATAAAAGCTAAAGAGCTCTTTCTTAGAGATGTGAACTATATTATTCGTGGCAAAGAGGTTCTCATAGTGGATGAGTTTAGTGGTCGAGTCATGCAGGTATTTGAGTGTATGAACTTTCATTGTTCAAACTTTATCTGGGAAGTTACATTACATGCCAATGTTTAAAAATATGGTGATAAAATGACTAAAATGGTTTGGTTAGACTACATGCATCATTTTCTGTTATTCACCTTGGATGATCTCATCATGTTGGACACCTGCACGTCATTTTTCAACTCTAATCCGATGTCCTATACCAACTTTTTGATTAACATCTAAACTATATGTGGAACATATTATAGTTTAACCCCTATGTCCACCATTCACCTTAAAAGGTGAGGAACATATTATGATTCAGTTGTTTGTTTTTAGTTTAAATAAGTAGACCATCGGCCTGCAATACCTGTAGAAAACATTAGGGAAAAAGAGTGTGAAAAAGGTGCTGGAAATAAAGAAATTCCTGCTGTGACATTCATTACTCCACTGGAGCACTTATCATTTTAATATCATCACTAAGGTATCTGACATCATGGACCAGTAGACAACAAAATCATCATCATATGTTAAGAACTGTCAGAGTTCCTAACAGATTGATGACCTCATGGCTTGTGTTCCTGCTTTGAGGTATCAATTAAGGTATTTATGCAGTGAACCAGCTGTCTTTGCCTACAGCTGCCACTAAGATTTGTTGCAGGCCAGCGTAAGACAAACATGTCTTTGTGAGTTGGGAATCATCATGAAAGCTTCTTTTAGCTAAGAAACAGGTCAAACTTGTTTTCGTCGATGTCTTAACAAGGCCCTTCCCCTCTTCAGCTTCGTTAATTCATTAGCCACAAATAAAAAGGCAAACACCTTCACCCATACATCTTTGTTATTTAATTTTACTGGATACCTTAAAATTGCTAAATGACAATTTCTTCACTATCAACCATCACAGCAGTCATTATCAAGTTAGTATTGCTTTTGTTTACCCATGCCTTCTCTTATGTATTTGCACCTGCAACCTTTTGTATTGGGTGTATATGCTGAGAGATCCTGGGTTTTGGTGTGAATTAACTCTCAATGTAATGCCTGTTATTTTGACCTTTTTTGCATAAAAGTTGCAATTTTCATGGGACATCCAGAATGGAAATTGTTGTAATATCCATGGGAGGGAGGGTGTAATATTATATTGGGCTAGTGTGGGAACCTTATCTTGGAAGTTGGTTACTTGTATTTGCAGGGGAGGCGTTGGAGTGATGGGCTTCACCAGGCGGTGGAAGCCAAAGAAAGCTTGCCCATTCAAAATGAGACAGTCACTCTTGCCTCAATTAGCTACCAAAACTTCTTTCTTCAGGTTCTAAGCATCTTTCTTATACCGCTGGCAACTTGTACTTCTTGAAAGTCATTATTCTTATTTTTGGAGCTTCTACAGTTCCCAAAACTTTGTGGCATGACTGGCACTGCTGCAACTGAGAGTTCAGAGTTTGAAAGTATTTACAAGCTCAAAGTTACAATCGTGCCAACAAACAAGCCTATGATACGGAAGGTCCATTCTACTAGCATTTACTTAAAGTATTTGACATGTCCTCTTTGCTTTTTGCACATTAAATACTTGCTGTTTCAGAGCACATGGTTACTCATTAGCTTAAGAAACATAATGTTGATGGCATATTTATGACGTGATGTATGTCTAAGCTTGTGCCTTGGCTCATTTTGTTTTCCCTCTTCCTTTCTCTTCAGGATGAGTCGGATGTGGTGTTTAGGGCAACCACAGGAAAATGGCAGGCAGTTGTTGTAGAAATTTCTAGAATGAACAAGACCGGGCGCCCTGTTCTCGTTGGCACAACTAGTGTTGAGCAGAGTGACACATTGTCCAAACAACTCCGTGAAGCTGGAATCGCTCATGAGGTGATATTTCATGTCTTCTGGATATTTAGTCCCAGAAATGACCTTGCATCAAAATAACCTCACATTTTCAACCAGAAGAAAATACACTCACATATGGAATAACTTTTTATATGAAGGTTTTAAATGCCAAACCAGAAAATGTGGAGCGAGAAGCTGAGATTGTGGCACAAAGTGGCCGCCTTGGGGCGGTTACTATTGCTACTAATATGGCGGGTCGGGGAACAGATATAATTCTGGGTGGTAATGCAGAATTTATGGCTAGGTTGAAGCTACGCGAGATGATGATGCCAAGGTATTGCATCGTTAAACAAAATCATTTTTAGTTTTCAATTGCTTAGAAAGGCAACTTTACAGTCATTTGAGTAGCACAGACATGCATGGTTGTTATCAAAAAGAGTTATTATATATGAATGCAAGTGCTCTGCATGAGGTTTAGAGGAACAGTCTATATTCAACAAACCGATAGAGGCTTTGGTTTTCGGACCCATTAGTGTTTCCTATGCCTTTTGAGAGACCATCTGTATGTTGTGAAAGCATTGAATGCGCTTAGTGCGAGTACAACCCACTGAGAGTCGCCAAACGAAAGGGTAGTGGGATAATTTGGGGTCAGCTTGAAGGATGCAAATGGATGGATATCTAGTTGACTTAACACCCTTACACCAGGACCAACAATGAGGACTAAAGCAAGGGTCGACATCGGGGAGAGAGGGTGATGAAGAGATTTGTTGGGTACTAGTACCAAATTTTGAGTTGAGAATGGATGAGGATATCTAGGTTATGGAGGATAAAGGGACTGTATGTCTTCATTGATATGCTGCGGCGCTTGACAGGTCTCTATGTCAAATGATGTCATCTGATTAGTCTGTCATGGCGTAGTACCATCTGATTTTCGTCTGATAGTCTAATTATTGGGTTTTGGACTCTGATATTATTACCCGACGTATGTTGTCATGTCACTTGTGGGAGTCTGAGGGCACAAGATGGCTTCTTTAGGCCCATTAGCCAAAATCAATAAGAGTGGTTGTTGCAGCCGTGGATGTAGTTCAATTCATGACTGAACCATGTAAATCTCTGTCTGAGCTTGTTTTACTTTCATATTGTTTGTAATTGCTGGTGTGAATCTCGTTGGTTCATTTTCATAACACTGATTGGCCAGCACTGCATCTCTCTCCCATCTCTCATGACTAGGTTGCATCTTGTTTCTAAATGAGAAATACATCCAACTACCAAGTGGAAAGCTTTAGCAATCTTAAGTGGGAGTCCCCTTGGTTTAACTATGAATCTCACAACTTCTTGATTGGGCTGCCTGTCAAGGTGGTCTGTGGGACTGCATGAACTATTAATGAAGACATATGGAGATCTGCTCTTTATTACCCTTAAGGCAGAGTGTAAATATGGAAAGCGATCTGGATAAATATATCTTAGTTGACTCCTAAATGGAGTCACATATCAGGAAGGTTCCAGGAGAGATGTCCCCCTTACTGGAGTTTATATCTAGTCTGTCTCCTCCTGCCAATACTGAACTTCCTAGCATGTAATGGATTAATTTAATCAAGTGATTTTGAGGAAACATATAATTTTTATTTATTTATTTATTACTATGTTGCAACTCATTATGTATCGACACTTCAATTATATTAAGTGCATGCTATGAATGCTGCAGTGTTGTTAAGCCAGCTGAAGGAGTTTTTGTTTATGCTGCAGTGTTGTTAAGCCAGCTGAAGGAGTTTTTGTTTCTGTGAAGAAATCTCCCCCAAAGAAGACATGGAAGGTTCGTGGGCTTGTTTGTATAGACACAAAGGCTGTTTAGTTTGGATGAACTTACAAATACATTACGCTCTCTCTTACTTTTGGATGTGTTTCAGGTGAGTGAAAGTTTGTTTCCATGTTCACTATCTCAAGAAAGTACCATGGTGGTTGAGGAAGCTGTACATTTGGCTGTCAGCTCATGGGGTCGGAGATCTTTACCTGAGCTTGAAGCAGAAGAGCGGCTTTCTTATGCTTGTGAAAAGGTGTCACCTGTTGATAAGAAAAATATATTGCTTTGTCTTTGTTTCCTTCAATGTTTAATTAGTGAAATGGATCACTTGATGGAAGTTTATTACAACTTTCCCAAAACAACTAACATTGTGAAGTATTTGTAGGGTCCTGCTCAAGATGAAGTAATATCCAAATTACGCCATTCTTTCCTACAAATTGCAAAAGAATATAAGGCCTACACCGAGGAAGAAAGGAAGAAGGTAACTTGTCCTTGTTGCCTTGTTGGGTAAAGGAAAAGAGTGGAATTTTCTTCTCCTTTCTGGTCCAATTACATTTCCAAGCATCATATATACCAATAGTTCTACTCTATAAAATCAAGATGGTGTAAAGTTATATATTGTTGCAAACTAATCAATACTAGATGACTTCTAATCCCAAATCAATCTCAAACTTTAAACTAGGCAGAAAAGTCAAACATTCCATGTATCATCTTCCATGAATCGAATAATCGATTCTAATGCGGAAAATAGATTAGGTTCTCATTTTCAATAACCACTATCAATCATCAATTAGCAATACAAGAGCAGCGCTATGATAAAAGTAAATAGAGAATAGAATATGGCACCAAGATTTACATGGAAACCTGAAATGGGAGAAAACCATGGGTGGAGGAGGCCATTGAGAGAAATCGACCAGTCAATGATGATGTTTAGATACAAATCAGTAGAGAACTGAAGCTGGTGCATATAGGTCTTCAATGGAGTATCTGGGAAGAAAATATATTTGTGATACAACCAACAATATGACCTATAAAAGGCAATAAAACCTATTTGTAATCGTAAGTAACTTCCAATTCACATATGCTTCTCCCCTGATTTTCCCTTAGCATGCCTTAAAGGCACCATTGGCATGATCTTTTCAAAAAACTAAGTAGGGCCTTCAAGACGTAAGTGACATGTTTAGCTGTCTCCTAGTCGCGAAGAAAGTCAAGAATATTGTACCATGTTTAGCCACCTCCAAGTTGCGAAGCAAGTCAAGAATATTGTACCAAAACATTTTATTTCGCACCGGCGACTTCGTAGGACTTTGATCTCGCTATGGAAGTCGCACATACCAAATTAGGATTATGAAGTCACATTTAACATATATGTATATCATTGTCAGCAAGCTTTTTTTATCCTAAACGCCTTATGTCTTGTGGTTATTATTTACAGTTTAATGACCCATGCGTCCGTAATACTTAGCGCCTAAGAAGTGCTAAGTTAGCCTTGTAGTATTCGAGAACTTTGTTGAAGGAACTATTAGAACTTAGAAACAATGTGTAAGAGAAGGGTTTTGTTGATTCCTTGAAAGTTTCATGCATGATTTTATAAATGAGAGAACTCACCTATTTATAGGAGCCTTGGATGATTCTAGACACAAAATTTGGCCTAGGAACTTCTAGGTTTGTCTACAAGTATTCTAACTCTACAAGTGTCAAGAGCTTCCTACATGATTCTAGAGAACAAACACTACGAGATACTTGCAGGTACTAGAATACATAAAAGAACTATACATATTTCTAGTTGATTCTAGATGCTTCAAGTACTTTGTCTTGGTGGAAGCTTGTTGGCTGTCAACTAGACGCCAAACATGCAACAGCGAGGCAATGATATGGAAAAAAAGTGGGACAGGTGGGCATGACATTCACCCCCATTTAATTCATGACACGATTCCCTCATTGTGATTTCTTGTGGGATCGTCTGTGTTGCCTTGCCAGTCCTAGTTCTCTGTCAAATACTTGTATCATGGAGATTTTTTTTGCACACTGTCCCGTACATACCTCTTGAGTGGGATCATGATATTTTTTCCCCCGATCTACATGACGCACAAAGAGTTTTTTTAAGGCAGGAGGCCGGCCCTTGCTATGTCAAATAATTCCATCTTGATGCCTAGTTGATAGTCATTGAGTGGAATCTGAAATATGTTGATGCTGCCTTTCCAAGGACGAATCAAAATAGTCACTCCCCAGAGAAGTCACTCCTCCCGATTCTTTTTTCTGGGTGGCTCTTTCCTAGGCTAAGTGTCCAAAAATGATTCCGGTTTGGCTGTGGTAAATGCAAGATCTTACACTTCACGATGTTGAAGCTTGATCTTGGTGCAAATTACATATACCCCATGAAGTAGAATAGGGCATTCTTATCCAACCCACCTGGGTTTCAAGGGATAATAAAATAAAGTCTGAGATATTCAGGAGTCATAACCCAAGTGTTTGAGTCAACAAAGTTGTCTTCCCCCCTTGTACTCGATAGTCTCTGGATAGAACTGTTTTTTGATGTCCTTGATATCCTCCCATGAATTGATGTTGCATATTCCCTTGTCATGTTTTCATGACGTCTACACCACCATAGAGCCGCTACATCTGTGAGGTATTGGGTTATTGCTTGTATGTATTACCTTCTTCCAAGATGCTCGAGACTTGTAAGTATTCCTCCATGATCCAAAGGAAGTCCGAAGTTGTCATGCCCCTGTGCGTTGTTATTGCCTGTGAACGGCTCTAGCTTGGGCACATAGCATGTTAGCAATGAGGAACAAATAACTTAGTTGGGCGACTTGTACATGGTACCTTGGGTATGTGAGAAACGTTTGGGAAAGTGTACTAACTTCAAATGATCATGACTTCTTATAAGAGTTGAGTTACGGGTCTGCCACCAGGTCATGGAAAGGTCTCGACAGATCGACTGATGAGCAAACACCTTCGGTGGTTTGGCCCAGCCGTTGAACCCAATCCTTCTCGGGGTTCAAATCCAAATTTTCTGAAATTTAAGTTATTTTCGTTTTTTTAATTCAACTTTTTACTGTAGAGCGCATGATTTCGAGGATTTCCTTTTATCATGGGCATCTTAGGAAGTGAATTTCAGTTATTTTAAGTTTAATTTTGAGTATCAAAATTTTCGCTGAACCTGCCAAAAATAAAACCGTGCAATAAAATGATCCTGGAATGATAAGAAAATTTCTCTAAAGCGTGAGTGTATACACTTTGTGTGCTTCCATCATGCGCCACATCTTGGTTCTTGGACCATGCTGCTGGAGATTGCTTTCTTAAACAAGCCTACATGCCTTTATGTCCTGCATTTTGCCCTTGTCTCCTCCAATTGTTGTTGCACAGCTCACATGTCCTGCTTGTGGCGATCTTGCATTCATTCAGGCTCCCTCATTGCCTGGAGTTCTTCTGTAAGTTATCTATTTAGAAGGTCGATGCTTCCTTTCACGGCGATGACTAAGAGCATAGTCCAAGGCTTCAAGTATCAGTGAGACTAGTCCAAGGTAGTCTCAACATGTGCCATTCTCACTTCAAGGACTGTTAACATGTCCATGGAGCTACCACAGCGATCTACTACAACCATGGTAGGGGTGGGTTGCTCTTGGTTTGTTATTGAAATGTTTGTCGTCTTCTTGTCGTTCCTCCCACTGGCCATAGCTCGTTGCTGAGTGTCAACCTTTGCTCTGATACCACCTCTAATGGGGTTACTTTTTACTGCTTAACAATATGTGCAACCTTAGTTTGGCTTGTAATACTTGAGCAGGAACTTCATTGAAGGAACTAGAACTTAGAAAGGAAGTGTAAGATAGTTTGTAAAAGAAGCTTTATGTTTATTCATGAGTCTCTTTGGATGGCCTTACAAATGAGAGGCCTCATGCATATATAGGGAGGCTCGGAAGATCCTAGATACAAGAAAACTCTAGGTACAAGATTGGCCTTGGAGCTTCTAGGTTCATCGACAAAATACTCTAGCTCTCTACAAATATCAAGAACTAGAGAATGATACATGATTCAAGGAGATACTAGAATAGATTGAGAATTCTACACACTGGTAGTTAATTCTAGAGTCTTCAAGTACTTTTCTCTTGGTGGAAGCCTTATTGGCGTACCAGCAGGCAGCGAACGTGCATTTCAAGGGGCTACTGCTAATACAGTCAAATCTCTTGTGAAACAAGTACCTATGACACTTAATTGCCTTATGAAAAGCACATTTCCATTGAGAATTTATTTAAGCTAGTTCATTCCACTTCATTTGGTCAGTGGATATTAGGAAGAGTGATATTTACATGCATGCAATCATGACTCTAATTCAATTTGATATCACAGAAGTACGATAGTGACCCTTATGGCAATATCTTGCTGTCTAGAACCTCCATCGAGATTCCTTTTCCAACTGAAGCTTTCTTAGAAAATTAAAAGGACAGGAAAGAGAAGTAAAGATGTTCTGCTTCTGGGTCACAGGTTGTAGCAGCTGGAGGACTTCATGTCGTCGGCACAGAACGCCATGAATCACGAAGAATTGACAATCAGGTACAATTTTTAGTTTTGCATATGTGTGTGTATATATTATGCATATATTTATGGTGTACCTACATGCATAAATAACCCCTAAGAACTCGTGGCTTCTATAATAGCTTTAATCCACCTTCTATCTAAACTAGAATATCACCCATCTTAGGGAAAATAATATTTGAACTTCCAAATGTATACAGCTGCGTGGTCGAAGTGGCAGGCAGGGGGATCCTGGAAGTTCCCGCTTCTTCCTTAGTCTTGAAGATAATATCTTCCGCATTTTTGGGGGGGATCGAATTCAGGTTTAAGCTGTGTCTATTCTTTTCCTTTGTTTATTCTAATTAGAGCTTATTTTAAAATAGTTAACATTAAAACTTTTAGGGCTTAATGAGAGCTTTTAGAGTTGAGGACCTACCAATTGAATCAAAAATTTTGACGAAAGCACTGGACGAAGCTCAAAGGAAAGTGGAAAATTACTTTTTTGATATCCGAAAGCAACTATTTGAGTATGATGAGGTACTGAACAGCCAAAGAGACCGTGTCTATATGGAGAGAAGGCGAGCTCTAGAATCTGAAGACCTTCAATCTCTACTAATTGAATATTCTGAACTCACAATGGATGACATACTAGAGGTAAAATTCTGCTCTCTCCTTTCCAATGTTATGATACTTTGCATTTTTTGGCAGATTAAGATAAAAAAGGACTGCTAAATGCTTAAAATGCTTTTTATTTTCGTATAGGCATCAACATAGTAGTTTTTAATTGGTTTGATCAGAAGACAACTTAGGAAAAGAGTGAGTGATAACCTGATAATTAATGATGCAAACTAATGTGCTTCGAGGATAGATGAATCAATGTGCTTTGAATGATTTCCATTCTGGGAAAGATCAATTCTGTAGGAATGGAGCGAGTACCTGATTATCAACCATCAAAACCCAGTGTAATTTTTTTATCATGCTTTGTACTTTGGATACTTATTAAACTCTGTTGCAAACAATCTTAACAGGCAAATATTGGTTCTGATGCTCCCAAGGAAAACTGGGATTTTGAAAAGCTTATTGCAAAGCTCCAGCAGTAAGTTCAAGTTTCAATATCTGATTATTTACATTGATTCAACACATGTAAGATCAGTAGGACAAGTAAGTGCTGTAATTTTCATGGAGGTACATGCACATGCGATGTACTGCCCAAACTCATAGAGGGCATTATCAATAGTAAACTGACATATTCTGGCTTCTGGTTTCATGAGTGAAGAGGAGAGATCAGAATTCATCAATCCAACTCTTGACATATAACTTATTGTTTTTGCTTCACTGCTAAAGTATTGAATGAAGCCTTGGAAGCATCAAATGAAACCAATTCTACCCTACATTAACATCATGTTATCAATATGAACTTTGGTTGGTCTTTTTCTTATAGACCATTAGCATTATGAGCAAGTTATTTAGATAGTTCCATCGTTTTTCTCCTTTTTCTTGTCATCCCATTTGTTGCTGCTGTCTCTTTCGTCGAGTTGGTTTTTCAAAAAGTTGAGAGAACTTCTCCTGAAAAACCAGCAAGGTAGGATCTTTATCTCATGCACGCACAGTCAACAAGATGGCAGTAGACGGTACATCCTGGAAAATGATTACCAAGTGTGCTACATATGCTTCATTTAAGTGATAGTTACGTACTGTTCCATATATTTCATTCGAACACCATAACTTGGCTTGTAAAAGATGGTAACCTAAAGATAGCATGAGAAAATAATTCATCCTTTTCCTGTGTTAAGGAAGATGTGCATGGCACTTTCAGATGGCCGAAACTGAATGAAGCTGATAAAGATTTTTGCATACTCACAGAATAAGAGAGAAAATTAGGCAATTCATAGTTTGACCTAAGAATAAGAATAGTAAATAACCTTTGGTTGCTACTATAAGAAAGAACAACTTCAAGCCAGTTTCAACTGTTTCTAACTGGCATTGTGATCTTTCTCCAAGCTATTTTTTCCTCTCCCTCCAGCTGGCCTCTGACGGCTTTTTATTTTCTCTCTGACCGTCAACTTGCTTGATCTACTAACCTTGCCTACCGAAATCCCAACTATTTACTCAGTTTTACTACTTCCATTTTGGTCCTGTTTTGTTGGTTCGCAGGGTTATGTTCAAACAGGGTTATTTACTTTCTGACTCAAGTAAATAATATAAATTGTTGTTGTAGATGCTAGTTCATTTGGCTGGGTTTGTGCAAAATGTGCTAACTTATGTTCCATTTAATTAATAACGGGATGCAATGATTTTACTGCAGGTATTGCTATTTGTTGAATGATTTGACTCCAGATTTATTGGTAAGCAAATGTGCAACTTATGAAGATTTGAGGAATTACCTTCGTGTTTGTGGACGAGAAGCATATTCACGGAAGAGGGTCAGTTTTTCTTGTTTTGTCTGAGAGAGTTATATTTCTCTTGCACATTCTCACATCTTGTGTTCTTGTCTCCATGTGTTCATCTCTTTAGTTGTTTAGTACTCCCCTCAGCCTAATATATTTATTAGGTATATCACATGACAATGTTTTTATAACACCCCTTATTATCATATCATGCATCAAAGTCATTACATAGCTTACATATCAATGTAAAATTTCATAAAACTAATATCCAAACTGTTATGGCCCTATTCAGGACGTAGCCTATGCTCTGCACAATGCAGTAGCAGTAAGTTTCTGTCAAAACTCTGCTGTCCCAAAACAAATCCTGTTTTGTTTTTCAACTTTGTAAATTGGTTGGTTCCATAGCCTTTCATCATGGGGCGGAAACCTTCTGTGKAAATGTAGTTTAAAGGAAAGGGTAAGAAAGACCACCTTTCGTACATTTCTACTGGTCCAGACTCCAGACGTTTCGAAGCACTTTCTAGTGTGCACTTTATTTTTTGGCTCTCTCTTCGGGTTGAAGCACTAAAAGAAAAGGACCAGGAAGGTGGCCTCGTAGGAATCATGGACCTCTAAATATCCTCCTACATAGCTTTTGGCACCATCCACAGCCAGAGCCTACGACATATTTCCATGAGTGTGAAACTATCCATGGCAAATATAGAGACAAAATGGTCAAAAGGAACATGGGACACGACTGTTTTAATGTAATAAGTAATATTAGATAACATAAATGTGTTTAGATGGAGTATTAAATATGAGTGAGTGAATGACTAAGTTAATTTCTTAATGTAGCATCGAATGAGAAGCACAAAATTAATATTATTGTAGGATATCGTGGAGACACAAGCTCCAGGATTGATGAAGGAAGCAGAAAGGTTCCTAATATTGAGCAACATAGATCGGCTATGGAAAGAACACTTGCAAGCACTTAAATTCGTTCAGCAAGCTGTAGGTTTACGTGGATATGCACAACGAGATCCGCTCATTGAGTACAAGCTTGAAGGCTACAATCTGTTTATTGAGATGATGGCACAAATAAGAAGAAATGTTATATATTCTATATACCAGGTTCGTTGCTAGTACCAAAGATGAGTTATATTCAGCAATTCTATTTGTTATGCAAAAAGATTGTTCTCTGATTTTCTTGGTTTCGCAGTTCAAACCAACGATGGTGAAGGATCAAGACCAGCAGCCTGCAAAACCCCGCAAGGATGGTGCAAATGGGTCAGTGCTCCCACCATCATCTGTCAGCTCTGAGGCTAATGTATGACACTGAGTTGGGCATGTATTGAAGCATCAAACATGGATGGTAAATAACGTGTATCATTGAATTTATCTGGTTCTGCATAGAATTGTGTATATCACCACCATGTAAGTTAGAATGTCCTGTAGAGAGGAATCATCATATAAAGGTACTGTAAAGTTGCTTATACAGCGTCATTTCATATCATAAAAATCGTTACTCAATTTTCTTGTTTGCTTCTGTCAACACTATGTGCAACAGTCCAAATAAGATATAAGAAAGAAACTTGCGTGCCATTCCTTGGGAATTAATTGGGTACCTTTTTGAACCAAAAACGCGGTTGCTTTTAAACTTCATGAAGCTAAAAAAAAAGATGTTCAAATTAATGGTGGAACCAGCATATCTATCCTCTTGATTAATAGCGCCAAGTCAAACCTAATAAGCAAAAATGGTTGGAACACCTTCCATATTACATAACTAGTAAATCGAACAAACACGCGTCGTGCAGTTTGTATGAACCCACTAAAAATATGTTGTATTACCACAAAAGTGATTACCCAAGGCGTGCTTCTCGTCTCAAGCTTCGATTTGACTGGTCATGGCCTGAATTAGAGTCACGTAGCATAAATTATGTACTTTTAAGCGTTAACTCCCATTTTTGGCCGATACACCAAGGGCGTACCCTTGTGTTTTTTCTCGTCCGGACCGAACGAGCCCAATTGCCATGAAAATTTATATGGTCCATCTACAATGTTAATGAGATATTTGCCACTAGAAATGACTTGAAAAAAACCGTTCTCGTGCCGGAAATTGTCGAAGCCACACATTGGCTAAGTCGAAAGAACGTGTGTCGTGCAGTTCGTCGAATCCCACTCAAAATCATGTCGTAATACCACAAAAATTCGTACCCATAGCGTGATGCTCATTCCAAGCTTCGATTTGACTAGTCATGGCCTAAATCAGAGTTCCATAGCAAATGTTATGCACATTTATGTAGGGTTTCATCGGGATCTCAAACACGCAAAGGAAAATAAAGCAATAACCAGAAAACTCCAAGCCCAGATTCGTTACTACTTACTACGAAAAGTAGAAACATCAATGAATTGGTGATTGAAGGCTTGGAGTGCGAGAAATCAACGAAGATCTCCTTTAGCGGTATCCACACTGGTCATGGGCTTATAACGGAGTCCCGCAACAAAAGTTATGCACGTTTAAGCGTTAACACCATTTTTGGCCGATACACCAAGGGGGTACCATTGGGTTTTCTCGTCCGAACCAACCGTGCCGAATTACCATGAAATTTTCTGTGGTCCATCTACAATGTTAATGAGATATTTTCCAGTAGAAAGAACTTGAAAAAAAACCGTTCTCGTGCTTGAAATAGCCGGAGCCACGCATTGGCTAAATTGAACGAATGCACGCCACGTAGTTCGTCGAAACCCACTCAAATAATGTTGTATTACTAAAAACTTCCTACACATAGCAAGCTGCTCATTCCAAACTTCAATTTGACGGGTCACAGGCTTATAATGGAGTCCCGTAGGAAAAGTTATGCACATTTAGGCATTAACACATGTTTTTGGTTGATATACCTAAGGGGTACCCTTGGGTTTTCTCGTTCAGACCGATCGTGCCAGATTACCATGAAAATCTCCGAGGTTCATCTACAATGTTAATGGAATATTCTCCACCTAAAAGAACTTGAAAAAAACCATTCTCGTGCCGGAAATTATCGGAGCCACGTATTGGCCAAATTGAAAGAGCATGTGATATGCAGTTCGTCAAAACCCACTCAAATCATGTTTTATTACCACAACTTCCTACCCATGGCGTATTGCTCGTTCCAAACTTTGATTTGACTAGTCATGGGCCTAAAACGGAGTCTCGTAGCAAAAACTATGCACGTTTAACCGTTAACACTCATTTTTGGCCGATACACCAATGAAGTACCTTTCGGTTTCTCTCGTCTGGACCAACCATGCCGGATTTCCATGAAAACTTTTGTGGTCTTTCTACAATCTTAAGGAGATGTTTTCCATCAGAAAGAACTTGAAAGAACAAATGGGCGAAAATTATCGGAGCCACGCATTGGCAAAATTGAACGAACTACGTCATGTAATTCGTCGAAACCCGCTCAAATCATGTTGTATTACAACAAACCTTCTGTAGTGGTGTGCTTCTCCTTCTAAGCTTCAATTTGACTGGTCAAGGGCTTAAAACGGAGTTCTGTAGTAAAAGTTATGCATGTTTAAGCGTTAATACAGATTTTTAGCCGATACACAAAAGCTGGTTCCCTTGGGTTTTTCTTGTCAGCACCGATCGTGCCGGATTGCCATGAAAATTTCTGTGGTCCATCTACAATGTTAATGAGATGTTTTCCACCAGAAAGAACTTGAAAAATAAACCCATGCCGGAAATCGTCAGAGCCATGCATTGGGCAAATCGAACAAACATTTGTCATGCAGTTCGTCAAAACCCACTGTATTACCACAAAACTTCTACTCTTGGCAAAGCCACTCTATAAATAGTGAGCCACAACTACTGAGCTACTTCATGCACAACTACAAAAGAGTTTCAAAGCATATGATATTGGATCATCATGATGTAACATGCTCAAAGTTCAGACACACAACACTTGCTGATCTTTGTTCCACGTTAAATTTGGTGTTGATTGTGTTTGTRTTTTCATTTGATTCCAATCGATTCTTTTCACACAAAGGAGAAACCAAACATGATTGTTTGTGGGACTTGTTATATATCAAGTGATATGTATTTATGCTCCTTTAAAAACATGTTTKTATGTGATTGAAACCGTATAAAATTCATCTAGAATCCGTACATACAYATGTCAATGAGAAACACATCTTTCCCAAAGACTGATCTGATAAGAATTATGCCTATCTTGGGGATGGGGATGGGGATGAGGATGAGGATGGCTCCTTGAGAACAGAACACAAGACCTGCCTGGAAATATACGTCTCAAGCTCCTTAGACACCTCTGTTAACTTGAGATCAAAATTGCTCTTATACTTGTTCTGCTGCTGCTTCGGTGATGGAGAAACAGAAAACCGTCTTCTTGGCGACATCCCTTTTACAACAACGATAGGAGTCTTGTTCCTATCTATTATTATGTTTGATGGCCCGCTTTTTGTCTCCAAAGGTAGTGGCCTAAGTGAATCATCTTCCCCCATTGCCTTTTGTCTCATAAACCTTTCCCTCGCCTTGTCCGCAGCCAATACAGCTTTCTCACGGCTCATTTTAATAAGCTTCCATGGACTGATACTTGCACGAAACCCCCCCTGCTTCTTTGTCACTGTAGGTTCTGCATCAATTCTTACACAAAGTATTTGCTGCTTCTGAACCAAGTAAAAATCCACTATTTATTCATTCATTGTACAAAAACAGATGATATTTTTGCCATACATTATACATACATACATACCTCCTCTGCCTCTGCTACAGCTATTTTCTCTTCTCTACACATGGACATCATGGTTGTTGATCCGCATCTTGTTTTTTCAGGAGAGGAATCAAAGTCTATGCTCTCTTCCGAAGAAAAATCTGAATCTTCTGTCACCTCTATTTCCAGCGACTGATTTTCTTCCTTCATTGCCATTATATAATCATAAGTTCGCATTCCCTATCAAGTGTAACACATTTGCATGTTAGACAAAGATTTATACATGGTGTGGGAGCGAAAAGCAATTCTATCTATACCTTGCGGATGAGAACAACATGAAAGAAGAAAAGTTGTCCTAGAGCTGCTGAACCGTAAGCTGTCAATAGAACCAGCAAAACCTGTCACATAGATATGGTGATGAATACAAACAGTCATTTCGCCTTGAAACTAAAGAAAGACATATTATTACTTACACAGATGGCTGAAAGAACTCCTCTTGGGAAGTGAAAATGGAGATTTGTCACAAGCTCTCTATCTAATCCTTGTGCATCTGCAAAGCACCTAATAAGAATAGCGATTGCAGTCCCTCCTTCTATCATAAGCTGGATGTAAAAAAATTGTAGTCAGATAACAAAAAACTTTAATGATTAAAAAAAGAGTACAAGTAGCAAGGTACTAACCATTAACAGGACAAAGATGAGGAGAAGAATGAAAGTCCTATAGTTTTTTTTCCCAACACAATTGTTCAACCACTGAGAGCACAAATCAATATTGCTGTTAGGATAAACAAGATTTTATATTGTAACCAAGGAAAACAATACAAATTTTACTTACCCTGCAGTGGTGATCAAACCCTTCAACACAACGATTGCAGGTCCTGCAGTGCTTGCTATGCCTTTTAACCTAAACATTCCCAACCAATATCATGTTGAAGATACATCTATCTATGAAAAAGAAAAAAAATTAAACACCAAGAATGGAATGGTTGGAAAGCTAACCTGAGAATCACAGAGGACACAAAATGAAATGTCATCTTGTAGTGGGCCAGGAGAAATTGAATCATCTTTAATGACAAGCGGGAATGGAAGCAGAGGCTCCATTTGAGCTGTGGTACTCAAAGGATCCAGGTACTTGCGCCTTATGAATTTCCTAAGGATCTTGCGCTCAATCCTAGTGAAAAATCTCATAACAATGTGACCCAATAGAAACCCATAATTAAGCTGTGAATTCGACATGCTCTTCTTATTCTTCCTTTTGACGTTAGTTCTATCAGATGGATCAATTGCGGTGCACCTGACAAATAGAAACATAACTCCAAGTGCCTGAAAAGGGAAATAAAGAGATCATAAAGAACCACTCTGATGAGAAAATTCAAAATTGATGGATCGTCTAGTACCGTGAAAGAAAAGATCGATGTGACAACAATCACAGCTGTTTGGGAACCAAGGAGAAGTCCCAGGAAGCTATAGAAGGATGCAACCAAGAAACCATATATGAACATCCCCACTACCTGTAAAAAGAAAAGAAATCCAAAATTGAAGGAACAATACAAATCAACGCCCCCAATGAATGAGGTGAAAACAAAGTACAAGTGAGAATACCTGCAGCGGGTGAAGGGGGCGTTGCCAGCCATGGTGCCTCATAATGTAGCTTTGCTTCCTCCGAACAATAAACAGAAGGCGTATCCCCTAAAAATGATGGGAAATTTGGTAAGGCTCCTCAGAGCGGTTAAGCAAACCCTAAAAGGCGTCTCAGCTTGTCTAGATTTAGTTTGAAATATGACTTCAACGGTCGACTACTTCCCGTTTGTAATTTGAATGTTGTGTGGGATTTACATAATGACCACCTGGGCCCTTGTACTTTCAAACTATTGTCAAAAGCTTCAAAAAGAAGTACAAAAACTTAAACTTGAACGTTCAGAACTTTTTGCTTCGAACATATTTGTAGTTAGCGAAAACTCATAAACAAGGTTGTTTGACAGTTGCTGAATGGTTTGGTACAAAATGATTAAGTGGTCTGAATGATTAAGAGACTTTCATGATATAATGCAAAATGAAATATAATTGTTTACAATGAAATCAAAGCGCTTAATAGTTAAGGGAGACTCAGGATACAAAATCATTCAGAGAGTTGTAGAACCATTAAAAGACATACTTTTTTTTCCCAAACAAAATTCACCTCTTAATGATTCACATTTTCTAAAACTATATTTTCTTTTATTCTAGAATAAGCATACTAATTTTATTTTATTTAGAAATAATTAAAGACATTTCTATTTTAACTTATGTATTCTTTTCATGTTAATTAAATTGCAATGTTAACATGAACACTTATTAAATATTTTGATTTAATGCATATTAAAAAAATATTTTAAATGTCTAATGTTTTACTTTATACAATATTTATGGTGTTGTTTTGTAACTTTTTAAAATTTACCCTTGTTTACGTTGAATATTATAGATCAAAATTTAACAAAATAACAATATTTACAATGACGTTGTAGATAAAACGAGAACAAACCAATCGTAAAAATGTAACCAAATCACCAAATGAAACCCCCAATTAGAAAAGGTATCCAAAGAGGTTGGGAAATGGGCTGAACGAATAAGGGATAGGGTGTCTTTTCAACGACTGAGTGTATATAAGTGAGGTAAATGGGCTGAGCGAATTAGCCCCATTTTTTTTTTTCATTAAGCTCCAACTAAACATATTTATATGGCTTACCGAATAAGCTATATAAGCTATTAAGCTCATTAAGTCGCCATTGAACAAACCTTTAATAAAAAATTTAGTAAAAAAACCCCATATGAGTTGTGGTATATGTATAAAATTGTGGTTATTAATATCCATTTTCCGTGTGCTATAAATTAATACCAATTAGGTGGTTTGATTGTTTATCATTTTTACTTTTTCCAACTATGGTATTTTTATTATTAAAAAAAATAATGGTTGTTTAATCAAGTATAATGATTGAGTTGTTTTTTTTTTATAAACCTGCTCGATTTTTGAACAAAATGCAAAAATGTACCTCACAAAAATATAAATGTTGTTGAAGGGTCTTTGGCCTAACGGTATCTGAGCCTTTTATCTCATAAAAAATCAGAGGTTCAAACCTCACCAATGATGAGAAGGATATACGAGTTTATATATTACATTTACCATATATAAAATATATTATATATTAAAAAATATAAATGTTTTTTTTTTAAGTTATTGTTTTACCGCAAAGTAACGATGTTAAAATTCTAAGCGACTCGACTACATTATAATATATTACCATCGCAAACATCATGATTTACCTTTATCAACTTTCATGAGCATTTCAAAACGGTCCATAAAATCTAAAACCACACTCCTAGTTTTAAGAAGAAAACAAAAACACACGTGACCTTTGACAAGATTTCAATATATTTAAACAAATATATATATATATATATATATATATATATAGGGTTGGGTTCACGTGAGACCAAGGGTTTTTCGTGAGACCCGTAAGACCAATTTATGTTCATTGATCAAATTTATGAATTAATGATCTAATGGTTACAAAGTTGCAAGGTGGCAATTTCGTAATTAGTGAGAAGTCTCATGGCGTTTATAAATGTTCAGATCTGACGATTGTAAATCTAATCCAAGGGTTGAGAATTGGTCTTACGGGTCTCACAAAAAACCATTGGTCTCACATGATCCCAAGTCTATATATATATACTATCTTATAAAACAAATTTAATAAAAGTTTTAAAGTCTTAAAATACTAAATGATCAAGATATCATTTATATCACTTTTTCACTTTTTCACCCCCTCATTTCCTCACATATACTCACCCTCTCACAACCGATTTTTTTAGAATTATAATTTTAAATTTACACTTTATACTCATATAATTAGTTAATTAATTTATTTTACGTCCTTTACTTTTAAATGTTTCATTTTAAACATTTATCAAATTAATATATATAATCGTATATCAATTAAAACATGTTTAAAAAAATACATTTTTATTTTAATAAGTTACACCATTATAATCGTCTCGTTAATACCTTCGTAATGAGTCCAATATTGAATAATTTTTGACTTAATTATATTATTATATATTATATATACTCTGAAAAAATATTTTTAGTATTTACGATTTATACTGTTATAGTTATCTATTTATATATATATTATATATTTTGGGGTTAGGCTGTCTAAATTGCATTGTATAATATGTTCTGAATTAATATGTTCTTGGGTTTTTTTTGAAATATATATATATATATATATATATATATATATACATGTATTAATTCAACCTTAATTTGAGTTTCTGGACAAGAAAGAGGGTAAGCAGTTGAAATTTCATTCTAAAACCCATCTTTTTTGGTTTTTTCATGGCTTATGATCTGTCAAATATGTAGTTTTCTTTATTGGTTTTGAGTGTTTATCTTAAAACTCAAGTTTCTTGGTTCTTTGCTCTTGGTGTAAATCGAACACATTTGTGGAGTCGTTTAAATATGTTGGATTTTAAATATATTGGATTTTAAATTGTCATACAATTTTTTTCATCGATAATCTGTAATTGGAACCATAACTCTTATTTATTCAAATTGTATTAATATGTAAAGATCAAGTGTAACATATATCATCGTTAAATCTTATCTTATAAAACCAGTGAAACTTTAAAATCGTTAAAATTCATGGTTTCCACCGCATTGTGCGGGTACACAACTAATATATATATATATATATATATATATAAGGGCTGGTTCAAATACTAACCAAGATTATCGTGTTAACTTTGTTAACCGATCTTGGTCGTTGATTTGAACATCCAACGGTTGTCATTTATTGAGACTAAAAATTTAATTACTTAATTACCATATTAATAAAAAATTAGGTTCACAATGGTTCAGAGGGTAGAATTGTAAAAAGTGAATGATCTTAACGTATCCTATTTTGTCAGCCTATTCTGTAACTTCCAATCAATAAAGAAACCGTCAATCTCATCGATCAATATCTTAAATCAGTAGCTAAAAATTAGGTTCATAATCTTCATCAAACACAATGGAGGATTTGGAAGGATTACCAGGCGACGACATCTAGATAAGATTGAAACATGTGTGTGAACTTAATGAACAATTGAAAAATTAGGTTAATAATCTTCATCAAAACAATGTGTGAACCTAATGAATAATTGAAACATGTGTGTGAACCAAATGGACATATTGTGTGAACCAATTGAACACATATGTGCAYGAGTGAACACATATGTCGACGTTTGAGTGAACATGTGCRTGAACGGTTTGATCATTTTYTTCACTTTCGGAATTCDAATTCCGAATGTATTCGTAGACGCTTTTAGCTTTTTCATTCTCATTGCCGTCGATCTGTTTTACTCTATGATTATCCATATTACTCGGACTATAACGGAATYTTTRCAAAAKGGAYTTTTTTGAAATTTACAATATCAAAACCATTGTAGGAAGAATGAAATGTAAAAATCAGTAAGATTGTGAAACTTCATGTCATTATTACATAAAGATCAATTAGTGATATTTTAAGATTTGTAACTCCCAATTAAAATATTGGGGAGTTACATAAAAACGACAAATTACCTAAATACCCTTACATTTAATATGTGAGTTACATTTGAACCTAACTAAAAGATGAAACATGATTGGTTGATGTTGGTTAGCATAGTTAACACAAAAAAATGAGTTAGTATTTGAACCAACCTCTCTCTCTCTCTCTCTCTCTCTATATATATATATATATATATATATAGATTTGGGATCACCAAAGATTTTTCGTAAAACCCGTAAGACCAATTCTCAACCCTTAAATTAGATTTATAATCTGAACATTCATAATCACAAAATTGCCACAAGACTTCTCAATAATTACAAAATTGCCACCGTGCAACTTTAAACCATTAGCTTATAAAGTTAATCAATGAACATAAATTGGTCTTACGAGTCTCATGAAAAACCCTTGATCTCACGTGAACCAAACACTCTCTCTCTCTCTCTATGTATATATATATTTGCTAAACTAAACCAAATAAAAGGAAATCAGGGCTTTTTTGGAGTAGAAAGAAAGTAAATAGATTAATGGATGGATTGGCATTGGCTGTGGTTGATTCCTTGAATCGGTGTTTGAGATTGCTTATCAAAACAATTTATTGACTTATTTCGGTGTGGCACCAGTAATAAGCATTTTTGAATGTTTAGATAAACAACTTAAACCTGTGCCAAACCGGTAATAAAAAGTTTTTAAAGAAGTTAAACCCTTCTAACTTATAATAGGTTGATAAGTGCTTTTGTAAAAAAAAACATAAATTGTTTCAAATAAGCAATCCCAAACACCAGTATCCATTCAAACCTCACTTCGCCTCCAACGATATATTCAAAATTACAAGAATCTTAATATTATTAAATTAAAAATCACACTTTGCCTCCAACAATATCTTCCAAATTATTTGAACTTGCAAGAATCTTAATATTGTTACTTATACACCGCTTGTGACAAAAAATTACTTACCTCGGCTGCAACCTCATAACCACTCTCCACACATCGACCTAAAGCTACACCAGATACATAGTTGCCACCAAGAAACAAACCTTGGAATCCACTGCTACTAAGAGCAGCTTTTGCTGCATCTAGGATGTCATAATGACCAACCAGAAACTGTGGTATTGCTCGAGGCCACACTCGTACCCCTAACGTCAGTGGATCTCCTGCATTAGGATTTATCAGCATCTTCCGTAGGTCACGGTCAACTGCTTCCACAAGTTGGCTCTCCGTCTGATATCAACACCAATATAACAAATTCCAATCAGTATCAAAAGCATGTGGTCCATTCGGTAATTTGCTTCCTCTCATCTTACCAACACTCAAATGTAGAAACTAAAACCCAAGGCCAAGAGTTTGCTTACCTTTGATAAAATCACAGGATTTGTAGCCCCTCCGATGTAGTTCAGGAGCAGAACCCTTCCAGGTGGAGCTCGGTTAGGAAAAAGGGATGAGCTGTATATGGTACCTGAAGAATCGAAAGGGTAATCAAGTATTCTACAAGTTCCATCACAATATAAATAAACTCAACTAAGCTTCCATCAGTCATACAGAGTCAGGTGAAATTACTGAACATTTAATATCAAGTGGTCATAAAAGTTCATAGTATTGGTGGATAATATTCACCATCTGTACTTCTAGAAACAAGTTACTAGGAAAGACTTTCAAGGGTGATAATGCTCAATATCAACAGTGGGTACCATCAATAAAAAAGTATGGTTGCTTTATCATTCATACCTAACACCAGCATAATCCAACAGGCAACAAAGCATATCTAAGCAATCATGGTCCACGTCACAAGAACTGCAGTTAGGGTGCTACTATTTCTGCACTCTTTATCTCAAACACTACTTGTTGTTCAACACCAGTCTATGCTCTCATTTCTCAAATTTGCTAGCTCTAAACGTGATTAAAATTTTGTCAGTTAAGAGTGTGATAGTACATTACCAAATCAAGAGCAAGATAAAAACATAAATATATCAGATATTTGTTCTTAGCTTGTCCTACAAGGTAAAAACCAAAAGTATTACTGACAAAAGATGATGAAGGAAAGATGTCCATACTAGCAACTTGAAAAGACAATGCTCGTGCAACAAAAATATTGAAGAAATCACATTGTTTAGAAAGATTAATAAGTGTAACAACAAAAATTCAGGGCAAGAACTGAATTGACCAGACATGAATATGTAGACACCTAGATATTTGAGATGAGGAGTCACCTAGAGTTTCCACCCCTTGACTTCGTGGATGCAACTGCCCAAAACCCTTCAGTTGACCATCAATCAAACGTTCAGCACGAATTGCCTCTTTTGGATAGGAAATAGATACAGCTGCAACCGGAGGATAATAAAATTTTGACAACGCATCTGCTGCACCCAGCTGAAATAATAGAATAGTTAAGGGAATGCAAAAGTCTTATATATGTATAAGCAAAATCTTATATACGTACAATTATTATCCGTAACAAACAATAATGTTTACCACTTAAAAATAGTAAGGTCTAGCTAAATCCTTCCCTTCCTGAACCAGATCTAGAGAAATTGCAAAATATAATATTCACATGGCCTATGCAGCCTATTATGCGTTTTGAGCATTTTTGATGATTAATCAGGTTAAAACGTCAATTGGTGCAAAAACATGACAAAACAGGACAAGTAACAATCAAGGTACAACCATGGGAGACAGAAGTCCAGCACATGGGATGTGCTGGCCTCAAGAAGTGTCCAACAAATGGCCTATATCCTCTCAGCCAGTGCAGGGGTATGTGCCTATACCAGCACATACCCATGCGCCAGTTCCCTGTGCCCAATCCCAGAAAAAAGAGACTCAACATATGGCATATGCTCATGCAGAACAGGGATGCATGCTTGGTCAATCAACAAAATTGTAATGTACGATCTTTAGTATAAAGAAAAAGCTGATTCTGGGGATCGAAATCTGAGGAACAAATGTGGACATGTTTTTGGGCAAAGTTCACAATTAAAAGGCCTATAAAATGGATACCTGAAAAGAGAACAAGGATTTTTGCTGGCAATTTTGTACACGTTTTGGTCACTTGCACACATATTGAGAGCGGTAAGCAAAATTGGACAGGAGCAAGGTCTAGCCTCTTCAAGTGAGGTGCTTGATCGGTCTCAGAGATGACAATCAATATGGAAGGCTAAGCACTCTAAGGGACCAGGGATGAGAAGATTGTAAGAGTTTTCATGTTCAATTATTTACTCTAAGTGTTGTTTCAACAACCTAGTATTAAACTGTAGCTTGAGTGGCCTTGTTCTAGTGCTAGAATAGATCTACATTTTCATTCAAACGAGTCTCACAAGATGGATTGTCATAGGTCTAACAAGATGTGTCGAGCACAAAAGTTTAGATGTTAAGATATCTCATGTAGGTCATGCAGTCCATACTGAAAACATAGTTGAAATCATATGAGCAAAATGTTGAATGTAATGTCTTAGTTAATGATTATGATGTACTGTGAATGTATTGCAATTGAATCATCTTCATCCCTATTCTCCCAAATTTGATTGAACCTGAATTATTTGCTCAACTAGTTTCTTTTAATATTAAGTTCTTAGTTTTCCCACCAAATTCAAAAGTGACAATCCCATTCAAACTAGATTTCAATCAAATTACCCACTATCCCTTGGGTTCGATCCTAACTTACCACTCATGTTAAGTGCATAAACTATTAATTTATAAACCCTTGGTACGTTTGATGGACATCACCAGGAGCACAGTTTGATGGACATCACCAGGAGCACAGTTTGAAGTTATTGGCAGGGTAAACCAACTCAAGTGTTTAGATTCATAGTATACTCGTCCTTTCTAATTTTTGAGTCACCGACTTCTTTTGAAAAGATTATAACATTGATATTCCATCTACTTATTGTTTCAAGCATCATCTTTGAAAATAACAAAAAACTTAGAAATGGGCCTTAGCATATCAAATTAAAATCTGATTCACCTTCAAATTTTTTACTTAAGTTTGACTATACCATTCATGCTTCTTCAACATACCGAAAGAGGGCGCAACAAGTCACTGGCCACGTAGGATGGAACAGTCATGACAACAGTTTTAGTCTGCAGACTTGCAAATCCATTTGGTGTTTCATATGTCAATCTATAACCTCTATTCACCAATTTTGAAATACTTGTGAGCTTCCATGACAATTTCACCCTGCTACCCAACCTATAAAGATGCATATAATTCATTAGTATTATTATACAATCTGGAAATGATAAATTGTGAAACCACTGTGTGCAACGAGGGTTTTCACCATTGTACACTACATTAGCCACTTTCTCACAACCTTTTTTCACTATTCAGTGACACGGAATCAAATGTATAAGATTACCTCGTTGAGATCGCATTAGGCAACATAGTTTGTCCCTTCCTAAAAGATCCAACAGTTTGGCCCTTTGGTTTCGGTAATCTCCTGCCAGGTTCCACACATGATATTCAAGGATAGAACAAACAAAAACTTTAAATGAGGGCCTACAAGAGAACATTACGCGTCTCGAGGAGGCTTGGTGCTGTTATTTCTCGCCTGAATTGCCTTGAAGGCTCCACCAACAATGCTACCACCAGTTTGCTCCAGCTTCCAAACCTTTCCAAATGCTGCTTTCATACTAAGTTTTGATGGATCGCCAGCATAAACACCTGAATGATCAGAATTTCAAGTTAAATTACAGTTGATAACTCCCAACTTAATCAGGAGTCATAAGCTGAGGTCATTTTAGAACTACAAGAATCTTTCAATGAAGGTATGGATTAGTTGGTCCAAGAATATGGACATGTTAATAAACCTTAAGTGATAAACAAGCATGGTATTAAGTACATATAAAAATTAATAAGGAAAATGTATTACAAGAACCCATGCACTTTGCAAAACCAACTAAACATGTGAACAAGGAAACACATCACCAGTTCCGGAGACAAGTAAACATTCGACGCCCCAAGTTTGTAATGCATAAAGCATATCAATAGCTAGAGTGTGACATGGAGTGTGCTTCAGTAGGGAAATGACAACTAACAGCAAATGCGATCATGAACTGCAAGACAAGGTAGCCGATTGAATATTACCTGAGCAAAATGGTTCTATCAAGCGTTCAAAAACTTCATCTCCAAGATTACGCCGAACAAACTCTTCAACAGATTCCTCGCGCCCCTGTATCCTTTGTTAAAATGTAGATATGGTAGATTATATGCTGATGTACAATGAAAAATGAATGATGTGGGTTACAAACTGGGGGTGCAGGGCGAAATCCAAGAGCACCAAAGCCAGCTCTGAGTTTTCCAGCAAAGCTCATCAGATCAAAGAAAGGCAGATCAGCTGGTTTAGAAGGCACCGGCTTCAGATCACCACCCCATAACACAAAGCGAGGTGCAGTAGGGTCACCCAACACCAATTCATCCTTCAAACCACTATCCACCTGGAACATGCAAATGATCAAGTGTGGACCGACTATGCATGCAAAATGATCTACATATAACTAGAAGTAGACGAGGAAGCTTCTAAGGTTCGCACAAAACAGAATAACGGTAGAATATGTATTAGCATTATGGTGAACTGAAATAAAAGAGAGAATGTGTGTGTGCATGATCTTCTATTTAATAAGAAAAAAAGACCCACTATTTGTATACAATAATCCTAATTTATCTATCATCTACTGCCTACTGGATACGATCTAAAACCCACTTTTCCACACTGCCCCTCAAGCGGGTGAATAGGTATTCATCGTTACCAGCTTGGTTACAAAATCCTGAAACAATGAAACTACTTAACCCTTTGGTGAGTATGCCAGCAAGTCAGCCAGTTGTAGTGACATAAGGTGTACAAATCAGTCTGTTGTCCAACTTCTCTTTGACGAAGTGGCTGTTAATCTCAAGTGCTTTATAGGAAAGCAAGCTTGATGAAATATTCAGTGGCCTGACTACTAGGAATCAGTATCCTAAAAATGTGATTTATTGTGTAAATTTGTTCCATAGGTTGGTTGTATCATCTCCTGTTTTTATACTGTAGACAGATCCGTATATAAGGAAAGGTGCTAAGTTGATATAGATAGACTCCAATAGAGAGTTAGACTCCAGCAGGGAGTTGCTTTAGAATAGTCCTTACCCTTATCTCTTTTCTCTCTCTCTCTCTCTCTCTCTCTCTCTCTTGTGTGTGTGTGTGTATATCTTCCCTGTATTGTAACTGAAACTACATAGTAATATACAAATGTATATTCTCCTAAAGTCTTTATGGTATCAAAGCTCTATAAACTTTAGCCGAGAAAAATTATGGTGCTCGATTCTGAAAAGTCAACCCTACTGCTGCTAATCTCGAAAACAACTTCTCTCCAAATTACAAGCTTTAAGCTTTCTGGATCGAATTACCTACAATGGTCTCGATCTGTTCAACTTGTTGTTCGTGGAAAAGGCAAGTACGGACTTTGACGGATCTATTAAAAGACCTTTGTCCACAGATCCCACCTTTGCCCAATGGAATATCCAGAAATCCATGGTTATGCGGCCTGGCTCATCAATTCTATGCAAGACAGCATCACGGAGATTTACCTGCTTTGCCCTACTGCCAAATCCATCTGGATGCGGTACAAGGCCCGGTTAGTGGCAAAAGGCTACACACAAACATATGGGATGGATTATCAGGAGACTTTTTCTCCCATGGGGAAAATTAATACCATTCGGGTTCTCTTGTCACTAGCTGTCAATTATGATTGGCCTCTTTATCAACTCGACGTGAAAAATGCGTTCCTTACTGGCAAACTCAACGAGGAAGTTTACATGGACTTGCCCCCTGCTTTTCACGACCCGACAGGCTCCAATAAGGTGTGTCGACTTAAGCAAGCAATATATGGCTTGAAACAGTCACCTAAGGCATGGTTCAATTGCTTCACTTCCACGGTTAAGCGGTTTGGATATCTGCAAGCCCATGCCGATCATACTCTCTTCTATCTTCATGAGCATGGTAAGATTGCTATCTTGATTGTTTATGTGGATGATATCATCATTACAAGAAACCATGTCGTCGCCATCACCAAACGTAAAGCTCATATAGCCAACTCTTTTGAGATGAAAGATCTTGGCACACTCTAGTATTTCTTGGGTATGGACATTGCACGCTCTAAATCTAAGATTAGTTTGTCTCAAAGAAAGTATACCTTGGACTTCCTAAAAGAGACTGGGATGTTGGGCTCTAGACCAGTTTCTACTCCTATGGAACCTAACCTCAAACCAAATGCTACATCTACGGTCCCAGTCGACAGGGGAGATTTCAGCGCCTCGTTGGTCGACTAATTTACCTAGCACATACCAGGTCCGACATCACGTTTGCAGTCAACTATGTGAGCCAATTCATGCACTCACCATCCCAGTGCCATCTTGATGCAAGTCTACCGAATACTAAAATATCTGAAGGGTACACCAGGCCTCGGATTGAAATTTAAAAAACAGGAAGATGAAAAATTGAAATCTTCACGATGCAAGTTCGGCAAGCTCTCTAAGTGATTAGCGATCTAATTGTTACTATGTGTTTGGAAACCTGGTTACTTGGCGAAGTAAGAAACAAAGAGTGATCTCAAGAAGCAGCGTTGAGGCCGAATTGAGGTCCATTGCTCTAGGTATATATGAAGCTTTGTGGCTAAGAAGATAGTTAAGGGAGCTAAGGGTCCCTATAAAGCAACTGATGGTTATTTGGTGTGACAATAAAGTTGATATTTCAATGACACATAATCCTGTTCATCATGACAGGACTAAACATGTGGAAATTGACATACATTTCATTAAGGAGAAGATTGAAAAGGGAATTCTGAAGATTTCCTACATTTCTACTGCTCAACAGGTGGCTGGCATCCTCACTAAGGCACTCAATTTGTGTTCCTCTGATAAGCTGAAAGACAAGCTTGGATTGTATAATATATACCATCCAGCTTGAGGGGGGAGTATAGACAGATTCGTATACAAGGAAAGGTGCTAAGTTTGTTATAGATAGACTGCAATAGAGAGTTAGACTCCAACAAGGAGCTGCTTTAGAATAGTCCTTATCTCTTTTCTCTCCCTTATATATATATATATATATATATATATATATATATGTATATCTTACCTCTACTGTAATTGAAATAACACAGCAATATAAAAATTTATATTCTCCTAAAGTCTTTATATATGTAGAGATTTCCTCACATATTGTATATAGATATGTATCCTTCTCTACAATAAAATATATAGAAAAATATTCCCAACTCTTTTTGCTACATGGTATCATAGCGTACTCTGATTTCATCTTCTCTGTCAAACTGCTGCTACTGAAGCGGTCTCCGCTCCGCCTCCAGCCCCTCGTCAACTATGTTCCTCTGTTTGTGATGCTCCACCAGCATGCCTCTGCACATGGATTCATCAATTAACGTTCCTTTGTGTGTGACGTTTCAGCCAACACACCCCTGTCAGTGCCCTTGTCAATCGATATTCCTCTATTCATGCCATCGTAAATCGACAAAGTCAATTTCCAGCAAACTCCAGTCACGTCGACTTCCTCAATCGACGACTCTCAAGCACTAGTCAACTTCCTCAATCAACTCCAGCTGTTGGCTTCCTCAATCAATTTCAGTAGTCAACTCCCTCAATTGACGAATGTTCCAGAAGTTAATTAACTCTGCTCTTCCTTGTTCCAGTATTATATTTTTTTTTTTAAATGCCTGAATTGGAGTAGACATCAAACGACTCATGCGCATCTCCTCCAAACCCTCCTTAAATAATTCAAACATGAAACGGTACTAGCCCTATTTCTTTCACTGCTTACAATGGTCATGGCCATCTCTGATTGTCCCAATCCATGATGAGGTTCATAAGTGGACGAGATCGAGATGAGCATCTTTTCACAACCCTTTTCCCTTGCAATAATCAACAAATAGTTCGCATAGAGAAAGGTAGTCGCACCGTGTGTGAAATGGGAGGAACTATTCGCCTCTATTGAAACTAATTTCTTTGCCAAATATTGGTAAACAAACCTCTTAACCCAGTCACCGTTACCCACAAATTTTGGTAAACAGCCCGTAAGACTCATGTCACAATTAATGGCCGGCTCCACCATCTACAGAGGTAGATTGAGGCAATGGAGTTAATGATGTTGTGAGATCATGTTAGACAGTACTACATTGACGGGTGACAATGAGTCAGTGATAGGTAGTAACCATTGAGGGCAAGTAATACAAGAACTTTCTCCATAAGTATGGTGAGTCATAACTCAGAGATTGTGAATAACTAAAGCTCGAGGAGATACTGTAGGACCCAATAGAATCTCGGACATAAGCTATGGAAGTGTAAGAGATCCAAGTCCGAATCACAATCATAGGACTTAAATAATGGAAAGATTGAACGACATTTTTATTTATCACAGCCACGACATTTTTCAGATATGAAAATAAAGGATGAAAAACATCATAAAAGGGGAAGGGGAAAGGGAAAGGAAGTATCATGACGTACCACCATGGTGAGCATGGCATCAGATGGCTGGAAGCTGTTAGGACCTTCTTCCCAAAGATAACCATCCCTTTCAACAGTTGATATATTGCCGCCGACTCTGTCTTGTGCCTCGGTGACGATGAAGTCGGCGGCGTGTTTGGTGGCTAGGGCCTGGGCAATGCAAAGGCCACTAATGCCGGCGCCCACAATGACACAGTCCAGCAAAGGCTGAGAGTTGGTGTCATCGGAAATAGGAGGAGTAATTGGGGAATCCTTGGCTATAGAACAGCGGAGTCTCCACCTGTTGCGACTGGCTCTGTTGCTTCTGTGACCGTAGGTGATGAGGTACTTATTAGGGTTGTTTGATACTCGGGAAGCCGGTGGCGGAAGGGAAGACCAACTACGGCAACAGTTGAAGGAAGCAAAGTCTGTAAGAGATGTCATCCTATCTATCTGCTACAAACAATCAATCCTCTTCTCAATGGGGTACAGAAAAAGGAAGGCCTATTAATCGTAAAATAGTCAGGACACGAGTTATTAGGGTAAAAATCATTCCTACTCAGACTTAAATTTAAATAAAAAAATGATATGGAAACAAAAATACAAAAAAAAAAAAAAAAAATGGTCCTCTTGACCTGTAAAAACGACCAAGACAGACATGTTTTTCAATATACCAGGCTCATAACATAATATAATATTCTTTTGAGTTAGATGAATATAATTTTTTGGTATATTTTGTAAATGTGATAATAACACTTTTTAGTATATTATGTAAAAGGAAAAAATTTAAAAAAATTTAATGGACTTTAGTATTTGAAATGATTAAGTTTTTGGACAATTTTTTGGAACAAATAAATCTTTGACCTTTCAAAACATATTAAATAACTCCTTGGACTTTTTAAAACCTGTTAGATACATTCTTATGACCTATATAACTGGTTAATATAATAAAATAGTGAAAAAAGTCCAAAAAATTCAATGAACATTTATATTTTGAACAATTAAATCCTTAGACATTTTTTGAACCAAAAAGTAGATCTATAAAATTAAACAAATATAACAAAAAAATACTTACATTTACAAAAAATAATTACATTTAAAAAAGATATTTGATAAAATTTATTTTAATTAAAATAAAAATATGTTTTGTCAGTGATTTTTCAAACTAAAAAAATTAAAAGGAATTACTGATTAAATTTATTTTAATTAAAAATAAGATATATCACGTATGTATTTTTTTAAATTAAAAAAAAGATTTAAAAAGATTACTGGAGAAATTTATTTAAATTTAATCAGTAATTTTTTTTTAAATTTTTTTAGTTTGAAAAATCACTGACAAAATATATTTTTATTTTTAATTAAAATAAATTTCATCAATAATCTTTTTTAAATGTAAATGTTTTATTGGTTCAAAAAGTATTTAGGGACTTTATTGCTCAAAATATGAATGTTCATTGACTTTTTTTTCATGTTTTTTCATTATTTTACTATATTAATTAGTTTTATGGGTGATAAGAATGTATATAATAGGTTTTAGAAAGTCCAAAAAGTTGTTTAACAGATTTTGAAATATCCAAGGACTTATTTGTTTCAAAAAATTGTCCAAGGACTTATTTGTTCTAAAAAATTATCCACTGAAGTCCATTGGTTTTTTTTAAACTTTTTCCTAGTTTTATAGGTGATAAGGAAGTATATAGTAGGTTTTAGAAAGTCCAAGGAGTTGTTTAACAAGTTTTAGAATGTCCAATGACTTGTTTGTTCCAAAAAGTTGTCCAAAGACTTAATAATTCCAAAACATTGAATTTTTTTTAAACTTTTCCCTATGTAAAAAAATAGACACAATTTTTTATGACTTATTACTTGAGACATAACCTTTGTACACATTTGTTTATAAGTTATGTTTTGTAATGATACTTTGTCCTTTTATTTTATTATATTTCTTTTGTTTTGTAAGTGTAAGAAGAATAACTAGTTTCTAAGTCAACTTTTTTCATAATCTTTTGAAATTAGGTTTACAACTTTTGACCAAATGGTTGATTATTATTTATTATTTCTTTCCATGTATTGAATAAGTGAAAAACTCATCAGGACTCGGGAGCAAAGCTCGACTAAACCCCGGCAAAATTGGAGGCTAAACATGGCCCCACTTAAATGTCGCCAACACTCCCCTCTAAAGGCTCGAACTCGGGTTCATGACTATGCCATGCCCAAGCTTTTACCACTAGGCTGGAAGGTCTTTGACTCCAAAGATGTTTTGGTGGTCATTGTCCTAACTAGATTCAAAAGAAATCCGACTGCCTCTGTGTCTTCTTGCTGTCCTCGTCGTCCTCTCTCCGTCATAGTATCCCTAGCTTAATACGGAATATAATGAAGTGAAATCTTTCCCAACAAGAACAGAATCAAAGATAATGTTTGGAGGCTGCTATTGTTGTCCATGGCTATGACTTTCATGCAAGCATATCATGCTAATTTAATAAGCAACAACTGATGATTACAAGAAAGAAAATGCAAAACTATTTTGCCACTTCCTAAACATATAGAAAACGAGTACAGACAGGATGTAAATGTCACTATCTGTCTATATACGGCAAAAGGTGAAAAAGCCATCGATGTAGACGCATAATTCAGTTCTTTAAACATATTACTTGAAAAGTGCACAAGTACGGTATCAAGAACACAAAAAAAATGATTTGATGGGATACTGGCAGATGGCTTATTCTGCTGCTAACTATCTATAAGATAGGGATATTTGCATTCTATTGAATCATGCACAACCTAAAATCCTCCATCTTCTGGCCAAGTAATCTATCCCAGTAGTTTGAGAGACGGTACTTGGTATGTATGTATAAGAGTCTTTCAACCGAGTAAACCCTCTTTTAGGCATTCACCTATACCATATTTTAGTTTAAGCAATTTCTCCCTTGCCAGCTGCAACAAAATGAGACCAACGCAACCAAACAAGTCAAGCACAATAGGGATAGGATGGCCTAACCTTTTAAGGGAAGAAACTCACCCTGCGAACGTCTGCAAGTCTACTTTGGGCATCATTAAGCTGCGTCTCTATTGCTTCCTCAGTTTGCAGGAGAAGCTTTCTGTGAGACAGCCCTGACAACATAAATTGTCAATACTGGATGATGAGTAATTTACAGTTAGGAGAGCAGCATATTGCTTGCGGAAGCAAAATGGCAATTTGGGTAAGCATGCTGAAAGTCAGTATACTTGGCAAGCAACCATCATACAGTTCAGATTATTAAGCTCACAACTCAATTGCTCAAGGGCATTGCCCGTTACATGAGGTTGTAATTTGTTGGATGAAGATGTTTGCTCACAAAGTCCTAGGTAACTGTCCTTAGTAGGAGTTTTGTTTGTATTGTTCATCACATCATTCATGGCCCTTCGATGCTCACCATTTCCCTACACTGCCTTATCTGGTTCAAAAAGCTAAGATAATGAAATAATTAATATAGCAACCACAATGATGTGTCAAGACATATCTTCTTGAAGGGTACTAGCACACAACATGCAAGGGATGTGTTCCCTGTAAACATTATGCATAAATAAACCTACCATGCAATACCAGGTAGAAATATGTTTTCTACAAGTAACAACTTATGCATACCCTGCTATTAAATTTCCACCCTTCTCTCAAGCATGTTTGACATGTATCCTATGTTGTCAGGTACTTTTGCAAATGTCTGCTTTACAGACTCAGTTACCTAGCAAGACATTTTTTTACTAGATATCCATATAAAAGAAAGACAGTCATCACTTGTTCATGTGTACTAGAACAAATTTACAAGTACAAGATTGTTTGATGTGTGCATTTGTATGTGAACGTCCATTGATTTATTCTTCAATAGAAAATCTAGACTCTGTATTTGTTGACATTGAAGAGTAGGATCGCTTCTGATAATGGGGAGAATGCACACATCAGAAAGTCATTATCTTACAACCATCCAAATGCACACAAAATGAGTTTCTTCAGTAAAATGAAAGCACAATGTACTTTGTTTTCATAGGAAGCTAGTCCACAAATAGTTTAGCTCAAATGTTGGAATTAATGGTATCCCCTTTCTCCAAAAACAAGCAACACAACATCTTTTAACTTGTAACATTAGTTGTTTAACATCGTTAAAGATTTTTGTGAAAAGGTTTAAACTCCACTACTTTAAACTGCAAAATAACATGCGACCTTTCAGTTTGAAGTGCAGCTTTTCTTCGGAAACAGGAGAATATCAAAATGTTGGAATTAGTGTTCATGTCTTTGGACTGAACTATACCTTTAATATTATTAAACTACCAAGTATCATCAGCCTAACTGCTAAAATACCAAGACTTGAAAAAAGGTCTTACTTTGTTTCTCTACCATTCCTCTAACTTCGATGTGGTGTGCTTCTAATCCCTCAACTGCGCTTCGACAGTTTTCAAGGTGCCGATCCACTTCTTCTTTAAATTTCTCGTATATAAGCTTCAGCTGCTCTTGTTGCTCTGTATCAATTCATTTTGTTCATTTGCAGTAAAAAATGAAAAAAAGAAAAAAACATGGAATAGAACATAGATTAACTTGAACTAGATATATTAGCAAGAATAATAAACCTCCTGATTGAATTCTAAGACATGTGCAATCTAGAATACTGTGGTAGTAGAGTATAATGGCTAAAGTGTTTCTACTCCAAACTCAGATACAAACTATTCTGATCTAGAAAAGATCAGAAAAATGGTCATGGAATCAAATCTTGCAATAATAAGATTTATATTCTTATTGCAAATTTTGCACTGATACAAAATTGAAACTCTTTAACATCAAAGGTAATTAATTTGGATTATATAAGACACAGATGCTCCTGCTAATCTAACATTATATATACTTCACATGAAAAAGGAAAGCATATTGTGTATATGCAAATCAGGCACTAGTGGTCATGCATACCAGAACTGCTGAGGACACGTAAAGATATGGCCACTATAATGGCAGCCTGGATATCATTGCAACATACTATAGCACTTAAGGTAAATATTTGGCACATTGTTCCATGTCTTCCTCGTTCGGCCAGACTGGCTTGTTGATACCATCACATCATCTGATATATCATCACTCATAACAGTGATGGAAAGAGATCAAGCTTTTGTCATCACTAATTCTAATTTCTGGGTGTTATATTATTACCTTGGCATCGGTTTTCTGGACGCATTCTTTTTGATTTACCAAGATTTGTTAGCTTTCCACTGAAACAGAATCACAAACCATGGGTAAGAACTCAATTCTTAAAAATGCAAACATTGTAAAGACTACCCACACTTCATTTTGGATCTTAGATTCAGCATTTTGCAGCTGCCAATGTATGTTCTTGGAAACAGACAACAATATCTCAGCAGATTGTCGACTAGCGATTGAATGTATTTTGCTTTGAACTCTTTCTAGGGCCAAGGCGAACAGGTTGACAGCACTGAAATATAGTCAAGAATGATTAAGAAATATCATGTGATCAATAAGTGAGAAAAAGTTTTTATCATCAAAATCAAACTGAATACCCTGCAAGCCCATTCGGTTCTGAGGAATTATGAAAATTGTCACAATCTCCATCCCCTGTCCATTTTTAGAAAGAAAATGGAAACAAAGATGTAAAAGCTAGAATAATAATATTTATTATAACAGTTATTATTATCCAGTTATAACAGTTATTATTATAACAATAATAATTGTTACTATTATAACAATTATAATGCAGATTTAAAAATATATCAAAAGTCAAGAAAAGCCAAGTAAATAGCATATAATATTGAAAATATGTTTATAGGCTGTGGCAGAAGTAAAATTTTAAATTTTATACACCTTTTGCATAGAAAGCTTAATTAGCTCCTTTTGTATAAATAGTTGTTTTTTTGCTAAACAAAGCACAAGCTTCGGTTCCCAGCAATAAATCACCACAACCTGGTGAAGTCAAACAAAAGATCTACAAAGTGCATATGAAGTAATAGTTAGAATAAGATGTGGTCAGTGGTCTGGATGGGTGGTTCAGGTTCAGATGAGTATCGGGGGGTATGGTGTGCCTCCCTCTACACACCTTAAGCACCGAATAATAAAGGAGAAGCAACCTTGCTTCCTATTCCTTGACATACTCGTTCTTATATCAAGCGGCATATATATTAATAATTAGCAGGGCGCACGCCCAGGCTCAGCTTTATTGTGTTGCACAGAAACAATATCTCAGAAATCATGGTTCATGGTGTTAACTTTCAGTTTAAGTATTTAATTATGCTTGAAGACTTTAAGTGTAAAGTGGTAAATAAACATAGTACCGAGTTTTAAGTAGTGCGATATTACCTTTGATGGGAGAACCATATTCAAGGCTCTCAGGATCCTCCTCTTGACATGGTGATGTAGACCATCTATTTCCTTTGCAGTTCTCCAATATGATCGGCACTAGATTTGCAAAAGGAAGAATCTTCAACACAATTGAATAGAGTGCATTATCTTCGGTCTTAGGTCTTCAATCATGTTTGAAGTATATGAAATTCTAACAACAAAAACGTGAATAATAGCATAAGTAAATGTTACCTGAGACAGGTGAACCATCTTCGGAGTTCTCAAATTGCACCTCTTTACTTGGAGATCTAGAACATCTACTTTCTTTGTGTCCCCCTATAATCAAAGTAGCTGGTTTTTTTACAGGAGGCTCTCTAAAGTCCATGGCAGGATTCTAGGAATAAGAAAAATGAAGGGCATATAGATTATAATCAGGAAACCAGTAATCTCATAGCTACTTCTATACTAAGGTCAAAAATAGTAATGGCATACAGACTAGTGTACCTTTGTGTTTGCACGGTAGTAGCCTCCTTTTGAAAATCCTATGCCGGGGGAGCTACATATTCCTTTTGTATTTAAGGCTCTCTCAGGTGGGCTATCAACAGCGAGGTCTTCCTGGTTGTTTTGGAACAAAGATCTAGGAGAAGAGATCTCAGCAGCTTCTTTCAACTCAAACGTTGGGCTCTTTAGATCATATTGTGGGCCTACATCCTTTGTTAGGGAATGTTTGGCAAAAGGATCCTGATCGACATTGTTATGTAACGTTGTCCCATTATTACCTCCAGGCTGATGTCTGGTCATGATGACTTCAAATTGGTGGTGTGTCGTTTCTTTCCTTCTAGTATTTGGCTTAACTATCTCACTCTCTCCTGTTCTGTTTTCAAGCAATGATACATTTATAGCAGCAGCTTTTATTTTTCTCCAATCAGTAGCTTGCTGACTGTCATCTTTGTGAACCCCTTCCACAGAGCATGTCTTCACTGGCCTGGTTCCATATGTCTCTCTTTCCTTTCTTTTACACAATGTAGTACCATGATTGACATCCGTGCTGGGTCTCCTGGACAACGTCTCTACAAAAGAGAATGTGTTCATGTCTAAGTGAGTCTGTTTATTCCTACAGAATTGAACTTGTTTCTTTGGCACAGACTTCTGAGGTTGAGGATTCTTGTGGGTCAAAGAACGAGTAACTGGTCTCCTCATTTTACGGCCCAGGCTTCCAGAGTTGGTTTCTCTTGTATGCATATGTTGCCTATGCATGGCAACAAGACTCTCATTTTGATGGGTTTTGGACTTTGGCTTTGAATTCTCCATTCCAGAAATCTCAGAGCTGTATAGTTTCTTATCAGGTGAATAAACAGTTCCAAGTAATTCCTGAACTTTTCTTCTTAATGTTAGGTTGCCACCGTTTCCTCTTTCTCTTGTTCCCTGCTCTTTTATTCCTTTCTCTGGCACAAATACTTTCTCTGCAGTTCCATATGAAGACTCTTCCCTGCCCATGATGCCAAGGTTTCCTCCCTCCCTTTGTAAAGTGTTTCTATTTGATTTCTTTTCATTAACATCCGTAGCATGCAGATTAAACATCTGGTTAACAGGTTCCAGTTCACCAACTACCTTGCTACTACTAGGTTGCAGAAGCACATTGCTAGTGGAAGGCAAACTTGCGACTTTTCTTGGATAACCAAATGTGTCTGAATATGATATGTTTTGATTGGAAGTTTTCGCACGAACTAGTGGGGAGGATTCTTGACATGGAGCCTTGTTTTGTCTTCCCAAATCTGGAGACATGACTTCTTTCCCTTTATGTTTACTTTCTGCAGGAATATCTTTTGCAATTGTTATATTTTCTGAAGGTTGCAACTCGGCCACAACTTCCTTGCCATGTTTACCCTTCATTTTGGCAGTAGAATCAACCACGACTCCTATTGATATCTTCCTTGGTTGGCTACAAGGATGGTAATTGCTACCGAAACTCCAATTCCCACTCATATGATCCTGGGCACATGATATTTTGGTCTATTAAGCCTATATAATGGCCTTCGCTTCGCTATGCAATATAAATCCTTGTAAGACAATTTGTTTTGTATGACCAAGAAAAACGGTAGAACACACACCCACAAACACAAATAAAACAGGAGGAAAGAAGCAGAAAGGGAAAAATATTGCAGTAAAAGTGGTCGTTAAGGAGCTTAAAACATTTAATACATGACTCGGAAGATGATTAAACAAATTCTGGTACATTGATGTCAAAGATATATGCAACCCATATGCAAATAGCTAAGGCTAGATCAAGATAATGAGATGTAAAAGATGATCATGACGTGATAGAAATTATCCAGAGATGCTCACATCTTGTAAATGTAGTTGTCTTTCCATCTCCACTGTCATTGCTTCAGCTCAATTACGGCAAATTTCGGAACAGCAGGTAGCTAGATTATCCAGTCAAAGAAGGAAAAAAACATAAAGTTACTTCTGAACAAAAATCCAAACAGAAAGCATTATAAACAGACTCACAGCAAAACGGTTACTGCTAACAGATTGTGTTCCCAGTAACGAATGTAGTATATAAACTGTGAATTAACAAGGTACCATGACCAACTTAGGGTTCAGGATCGCAGTGCTAACAAACTTATCCGGCTACGAATTGAACCAGAGTTACGGCATCAATGGTATGAAACTATTAGAGTGTTGAAAGTCAGAATAACTGACCAATCAGCTCCTTAAAATGGAACGACTAATATCGACAGGTGTGAAAAGGAAGATCTCAACTGTTTGAAATTATTCAGCCGGTTGCTTCAGCAATGCGATCGTGGTCGCAGACAAGTTATTGAAATTTAAGCGTGAAAGCGGGAAGCTGACGACGAGTTCGCTAATCGAGACCCCAAACGCGGGAAGGCATAGAAATGTATTTTCAAGTGCCGCAATTATTATTTCGGGTTGATCCACCACCATGACATGGACTTGTTCAAGTTTTTAAGTATTTGAACTAAACAAAGCAAGGACTGACAACGAAGGAACGAGGAAAAAAAACTTACCTGACCAGAGATGAATTTGCAGATGGATGAGATTTAGGAAGATAGAAATGTATAAGAAATCGAGTAGCCGGCGTCCTTCACCGACGTCGTCTGAAGAGCCAGCGGCACCTGTGAGACTCACCTTCGTCGCTTCTGCACGGGAAATAGGCGGGAGAAAAAACGGGAGAGAAGGGGGAAATGAAAGAAAATGTGTTAGTTATTCTTCTTGTGTCTTTATATTCTATAGAGTTGTGTGCATATAAGAGTGTTTTTTTAAACTCTAAAAGGAATAGAATGATCACCTTGTTATTTAATGTCTAAAAATCAATCATATGATAATTGTAATTTTTAATTTTATTTTATAAAATTAATAACATAAATAAAGACATTAATCATTTTTATTATGTCTATATTATATTATGTGTTTTAATTATTCATCATAGTCATAAAACCATGTAATGAATTCACCCAAGATAAATGAATTGCTTTCTTGCATCTTACATTATAAATTACCAACACTGGTCCAAAAAAATATAAACCTTCTTCATGTATTTTGAATGACTAGTTGTGTACCCGTGCAATGCAGTGGGAGCCATGAATTTTAACGATTTCGAAGTTTCACTGGCTTTATAAGATAAGATTTAACGATGATATATGTTACACTTGGTCTTTACATATTAATACAATTTGAATAAATAAGAGTTATGGTTCCAATTATAGACAATCGATGAAAAAAATTGTATGACAGTTTAAAATCCAATATATTTAAATATTTAAACGACTCCACAAATGTATTCGATTTACACCAAGAGCAAAGAATCAAGAAACTTGAGTTTTAAGATAAACACTCAAAACCAATAAAGAAAACTACAAATTTGACAGATCATAAGTCATGAAAAGACAAAAAAAGATGGGTTTTAAAATGAAATTTCAACTGCTTACCCTCTTTCTTGTCCAGAAACTCAGATTAAGGTTGAATTAATACATGTATATATATATATATATATATATTTCAAAAAAAAACCCAAAAACATATTAATTCAAAACATATTATACAGTGCAATTTGGACAGCCTAACCCCAAAATATATAGTATAAATAACTATAAAAGTATAAATCATAAATATTAAAAATATTTTTTCACAGTATATATAATATATAATAATATAATTAAGTAAAAAACTATTCCATATTGAACTCATTTCGAAGGTATTAACGAGACGATTATAATGGTGTAACTTGTTAAAATAAAAATGTATTTTTTAAACATGTTTTAATTGATATACGATTATATATGTTAATTTGATAAATGTTTAAAATGAAACATTTAAAAGTAAGGGGCCGTTTACCAAACGCTTACCCGAGTAAGCGCTTACCAAGTAACATTACCTCACCAGATGAATATGGTAAGGACCAAGAATCTTACTCAGTAAGAGCGAAATAAGGACCAAGGGTCTTATCCGGTAAGTGAGGATGATGACTCCTATCACGGTAAGCGCTTACCGGGTAAATTGTTGCATACGATGTCGTTTTGGTGGACTAAAATCTTATCCACCAAGTAAATAATAGTGTTAAATTTTACCGGTAAGCACTTACCGGGTAAGTGTTTGGTAAACGGTCCCTAAATGACGTAAAATAAATAAATTAATTAATTATAGGGTTATAAAGTGTAAATTTAAAATTATAATTTTAAAAAAATCGGTTGTAAGAAGATGAATGTATGTGAGGGGGTGAGTGTATGTAAGGAGATGAGGGGTTGAAAAAGTGAGTATAAAGGGTATTTTGGTCATTTAGTATTTTAAGACTTTAAGACTTTTGCTAAATTTCCTTAATAAGATAATATAGATGAGGTTTTGACATACATGGACTGTCATTCAATGAGATTTTGTTCTTAAACAGTACATCTATACTACATTATAATGTATTTGAGAAAAACTCTTAAAAACAAATTTTTTTGCATGAAATACTGTTTATTGATGCATATTACTTAAAATTCAAGATTACAAGTAATATTACGTAAGTACAACTTATTAAAACTCTATTTTTAAATTCGTGTAACTAACTGTGTATAAACATAATCAGATACATGATAAACATTCATTTTAAATATAAAATATCTAAAATATAATTAAGATAATCATTGAGTTCTAATAGAATGTTTAATTATTATCTTTATAAAAAATCATATTCTTAAACAAAAAATAAATTACTTTGTTATTAAATCTAAATTAAATTATAATAAAAAATTGAATTAAAAAAGTTATTCAAAAAAACCGAGATCTATTAAATAGTTAATTTGATACTAATATCGATTTTTTTTTCTAAATTTTTATGTTATCTTTAAATTTATATTTTATTCAAAAACAAAATATTATCGTTTTCTCAAAACCACATAAAATCATATTATATCAATAAAGACAAATAATAAAAACTAAACAATAAAATCAAGATTTATCTTACTGCATTATACGAGTACCATTCTAATTTTCTTATAATTGATTGGGTTTTTATTAATTTTATTTTCAGTTTTTATTTCTAAGGCAAAATAAAATATTACCTTTTTTCTTTTATTTTGTTTCTCTTCGAGAGCGAAGTCAGGTTAAACGTGTACTCGGGATCGGGGGCGGGGGCATCCCTTTAATTTACAGCCATATGAATCCAGTGGAGATGAGAGTACATGGTTACTATCGGCGGGAATGCAGATACCCATTACTTTGGACTACTGTCATCCGGTGAACGTTAGTATTCCCGATGGTGTCTATAACCACAACTATGCTGCTTCCCTTTCATCCACCACAGTCATCAACTACCCTCCGAATTTCAGATACAAACCACTACCCTTTGGGGCGACGCTAGCAATTTCATTAGCATGCGCTGCATCATCTTCAAAGGGAGATTCAGAGGAATCATTGGACGATAGCAGCGGTGGTGACTTGATACAAGTGTGTGAGCCACCTCCCACTGATGCTGACGGTATTGAGGTTGAGATAGAAAAATTAAGCAACAACCGCAGGAGAATCCGGTCCAAGGTCGCTGTCGACGCCAGTCTTCAAACGCTTTGGAGCATCTTGACCGATTATGACAGGTTGGCCGACTTCATCCCTGGTCTCGCTGTAAGCCAGGTGCTTGATAAGAGAAAAAACTTTGCCCGGCTTCTTCAGGTAAAACCAACTGTACAAATTCCTTTGCTAATCAAGGTCTACGTTGGGTTTGAAGTTGATTTATTCTCTTCACAATGCATCTTCTATCTAAAGTTATAAGAATCAAAATCATCCTTAAAATATGGTAAGCCCTCTTCTCATGATTTCATGCATTACCATCCATCGCCTTACATTTGCAAGGGCTCTGCCATTTCCCAAATGTCTCCCACCTGCGCTTTATGTAATGAACGCCAGAGAGATCATGAGGGAGCAGGTGCAAATCGTATTTAGGTTGATCAATTTGGGACAAAGTTGACTTTGTTCAGCCTGTCGGACCTAATTACCAGTCGCGGCAAGTGTAATCGGCAAGTGTAATCAGGAACGTTGATTATGGGTTTTTGAACTTGAATCCTGTTTGTCATCCTGCACGTCTATAAAAGGAAACATATTTCAGTGGACTAATGACAGACGTGGCTTTTGTCACAGAGCTATATAATAAATGACTATAAGAGGTAGTATCTCAATGAAACCAAAAGCCGTGGTTTCCAACCACAAGGGTGGTGCCTGATTGGTTGGAGCTTGGAGCAAGTGCCTGGAGGTCCCAGGTTCAAATCCATGGAGGAATAAAAATCCCCTTGTTCATGGAGGTTCAAATGCGGTGACTCCGGGCTACCTGTAAAGCAAGTGGTTGTCCTGAGATTAGTCGGCTCGCATAGCGGGTTGGATATCCAGGTTAATCAAAAAAGAAAAAGCCATGGTTTTCTTGTGATGTTCCACATCCAACAAGTAAAGGAGCAGATGAACCACTTGTGATCCATGTAGCAGAAATGTGTTTATCCTGCGTAGGAGACATGTACCTTTGAATTTGTTAAATAGATGCTCTTGTCGTAAGATCTCCACATTTATTGGAACAACTCAACCATTCCAAAGTATTAAGTAAAATTGGTTTACCTTCGTTCCCTTTGGAAAGAAACATACATCCTTGGAAAATTTGCCAACTTTACATCAAACTTATTGAGGATTGAGCTTGATACTGTATTTCAGCTTTTATCATTGAAGTTTAACCTTCTAGCTCTCTGGTAAGGCTGGAGCTTGAAAAAAATGCCCCCTTTTTGTTACAATCCCCACTAGTATCCTCCAAAGTGAAGACAACAGATTTTTGGTGCAGGTGTGCGAATGTACCCTCCAGCAAACGAAGTTCTTTTAAGTGAACTAGATGAGGCACCAATTGCACTAAGGAATGGAACAACTAATGATGTTGAGGATGAATTAAATAAAGTTGGGAGTGGTAGTAGCAGTAACAATGGAACTAAAGCTAATTCCGATCTCAAATAATAAGCTCATGAATTTGGTCTTACTTCATTGTTGAGAAAAAAAGACTTCCATCTTCAAGCTTAACTCAGATGTAGATTCCAGTTATCCGAGCTGATGATGAAATTTAAAGATTTTTGTAGGAGAAACCTGCCACTATTGATGCTTCTCTTGTTCTTGAAATTCCTCTCTTCTTAACCAATCTTAGGATCTCATCTGTCCTATTCCTAGCACAGAATATCTGTTCGATAGCTTGCAATTGTGACCATGTGCTGCACTGGTAGCTACCAACCTTCTTTCAAGCATTGCTGATGCTGCTTCATCAATCGCTTGTGTACCCAATAGAGTGATTCTGAAGCTTCAACTTGCCCAATGCTTCTCTAAGACCTTGAATGTCACCCTAATGATGCCTTCACGTGTCTTAGCTCTGATATCACCAGTTGTAAATTGTCATGCCTGAGTTACTACCTAAAGTTCCTGCCACCGAGCAAACTACGGTAAGGAGATTTTCTTGATGTTAAGAGAGTTCAAGGTTAAAAACTCCATTTTGATTTAGTGAAAAGGACTTGAAAGTTACGAGGATTTTTATTGCAATTGAGTACCTTTTAAGTGCATAACTGTTAGCTTTTTAGGTTATAGTATTATTTATTATTGTTGTTTTTTCCCTGCAACCACTAAGCACTTATTTCCCTTATTCGACTTCCCTGATGACTTTATATTGGTTTGCTCTCCAACTTGGCTTCACAGATTGGTCAACAAAATTTGGCATTTGGATTGAAGTTCAATGCAAAAGGCATCGTTGATTGTTATGAAAAAGAGTTTGAAAGTCTAAACTATGGCCAAAGGCGTGATATAGAGTTTAAGATGATTGAGGGTGATTTTGAACTCTTTGAAGGAAAATGGTCTATCGAGCAGGTCAGGCCTTTCCTTGTATCACTAGTTTCTTTGATGTTCCCTTGTCATGAATTTCTGTACCATACTTTGTGGTTTTGAAACTTATTATTCATACCTTCCAAAAAAAACCCCATCAGTTTCTGCCAGTTTTAAATATTCCTCGCACGTTCAATCACCTTGCCTTATTTCTGACTTATCTACATACATCTTATACATTTTGGAATTCGGTTGGAATAAGAATGTTTCTTGTCAGTGCCAATTGTTATTTTTTTCCGTTTCTTGCCATAAAAGTTTTTGCGTTTTATCTTGTAGCCAATGAACACTGATATTTTCAAGGTTTAAAGTGTGTATTACTTGAGAAAAATCTCATTTCTTAGTTACAATACAAGGCTGAGACAAAGACCCGTTGAACTTGATCTAGATAAAGATTGGATAAAGGCAGAGCAGGGCCTAAGTAACAAGATATAGACAAGAACAAAGAAACCAAGCTGTACATGATAATGCATCTGATCCAAGGTCGTAGCACTGATAATGATTCCGAACTTGTTACAAGTGAAGTGCATTTGGGTCTTCGGAAGAGGTTGGTGAGGATGTTAGGTAACTTATTGTGGAATTCTTTTTTATTCACTTGTCTCAAAAGAGGGAGGTACAAAGGCTATATATACACAAGGAACATGAGAAGAAAATGTTCAAAGATATAAAGCAATGCATTCATAATAGATTCATACAATATTACAAAACAAGAATGAAACCTATACAAAGTTAAAAGCTTAAACAACTTTGTATCTTTCAATTTCCCAGTGGATTTATATTTTATTTTATAAATCCATTTGCAGCCTATAGGTTTTCTACCTTTAGGAAAGTCTGTTATAACCCAAGTATTATTTCTATGTAAAGCTTCCATCTCATCATTCATAGCATTTATCCAATTAATATCAGTACAAGCTTCACGAAAATATGTAGTTTCAACAGATCTATTTAAATTTGATACAAAACATAATTTCAGAAGAAAGACATGAATAATTAACAACTTTTTCTAAACCATATTTGACTTTTTCTTCAATGACAAAGTCATTAAATTTTTGAGGAAACACAGGAACTCTAGTAGACCTTCAACTGGATTGACCTAAAGTAGAAGGTGTACTTTGAGTACCCTCAAAATTGAGACTTTTATCATTTCTTTGAGAACTGGCAGCCTCATTAGTGCTACTCACGAGTTGCCATCTGGTAACTCTTTCAAGATTATCTTCAGTATTGACTGAAGACTCTTGATTAAGACATTCATTTGAGCTGCCTAGAGGCTCCTCATTGGCAGCTCTGTTTTGGCTACCTAAAGTTCATCTACTATTAGGGACAAGATCAGTTTGATTTCTGGTGTTATTGCCAGTATTGTCTCTATTATCATCACAGGGTAGAGAATCCATCATTGGATGTTCTATTCACAAAATCAAATAAATTTAGTCTTTTGATATCATCATTATCTTTTTCATCATCCCTGTTCACAGTCATCTTAAATGGAAAAATATGTTCATAAAATTTGAAATAACATACTTTTTAGACTCTAAATTATAGAGTTTGTATCCTTTCTTTGAACTAGCATACCCTAATAAAACACATTTTTCAGATCTGGGAGAAAACTTATTTGAGACATTAGGTATGACAACAAAAGAAAGACACCCAAAATTTCTAAGATGAGAGAGAACAGGTTTAAATTCGTAAACAAGCTCGTAAGGACACTTACCACTTAGAATAGAAGAGTTATTAAGTAGGTAGCTGTGAGAATGCACTCACTCCACATGTTTAAGGGAACTCCTCCCTGAAACATAAGATCCCTAGCCACATTCAACAAGTGCCGATGTTTTCTTTCAACAACCCCGTTTTGTTGGGGTGTATAGGCACAAGAAGTTTGATGTGTAACACCTTTGAAAAAAATTCACTTAAGTTGTGACTTAAAAACTCAGAACCATTATCACTTCCAAACACTTTTAACATTTTTGCCAAACTGATTAGTAAGTAAATTGTAGAAGGTGATAATACTATCAACAATAAGACGTAAGTGCCTCTAAAAAATTGGAAAAAACAAACAGCCTGAATAACCCAACCTTTTAAAGAATCAGTCATAAGAGCCTGAAACCGTTTGCTTATGGGTTACTAGGTTGATTCACCCATGATTCAGAACGGGAAATTAATGTCAATAAATGAGGAGCCTCTGAAAGATCTAAAAGCCTATGGAGGGTTGGTACGGAAACTTAATTACCTAACGACTAAACAAATGGGTATTTTCTGTTCAATGAGTGTGGTTCGTTTGTTTTGTCTAATTCTTACATCACGAATCTTAAGGTATCTAAATGCTTCTCTAGGAGAGAGGAATCTATTTTCTAATAAGGGTCACTGCAAAGTAGGTGCTTTCACTAAAAGATGATTCGAAAGGCTTTCAGGGTTCTCGGATGCATATTGGGCAATATGTACTTCTACTCGGGGATCCATCAACGAGTAGCGTGGGTTTGTGGAAGGAAACCTTGTATCCTAGAAAAGAAAGAAACTAACAACCATATTTCTATCCAGTGCCAAGTCAGAATATCGTGCTATGGTTAACGTACATGTGATATGATTTCGACCAAGCAATTGCTACAAGAATTAGGTTCCTTTGCAGAAAAACTGATGAGATCTACATTGTGATGATCAATATCCAAAGATCAGGTTTTCCTTGGCAGAATCTAACAAATGACTAGTAGAAACCTCATCCAGTCCACCAACAATTTAACCACTACATTTTTGGAGGAAGTACCCCTTGGTGATAACCCATCCGAACCTCTTTGGAAAACCCAAATTGGGTCTTTATTATAGAATACAAATTTGGGAGAACAATGTTGACATAGGCTTTTTGTTTCTGTAGAAAAAATCCATGTTACTCGAGTACAATCATGAATGAATGACACAAACTGTTTGGCCCCATTGACATTAGTAATAGTGGAAGGAACTCATATCTCACTGTGAATAAGGTAAAAAGGAATGGAACTTCTTTTGTTACTAATTGAAAATGAGACATATGTGTTTAGCAAGTTCACATGCCTCACAATGAAATCATTCAACATCTGAGCTCTTAGATAGATGAGAAAACATACATTTAAGATTCTGAAATGATGGATGTCCAAGCAGGTGATGATAAAGCCAGGCTTATTTTTTAGACGAAACAGACTCTAAAACAAAGGAATAAGGTGTTGGCCCTTGATAGTATTTGATTGACTTGGTGTTTCAAGGTAGCAAGTCCATCTTCTTCTCTAGCATGTCCAATCGTCCTCCCCAAATCCTTGTCCTAAAATACACAATAACTTTACAAAGCTAATGTTTTTGAGCTTTTGAATGGAAACAAGGTTTGTGATTAGTTTTTTGGATATGAAGATTTTCTAATCAAGGTGATGGGCCTAGCTTGATATCACCTATACCTAGCAACGGTGGTTGAGATCTATCTGTTGTGAATATTTTCCAGTTACATGGACATGGGGCTTATGAGAAGAAAAATCTTGATGAATCTGTCATATGATTGGTAGCTGGTAAGGTTTATGTCTGAGAAATTTAGATGGAATCATGGAAGTTTACACAAACACATGTGAACACGTACCTTATGGTTTCTCAAGGTTTCTAAGAACTGTTGGCATCCTCTCAATTTCTTCTTGGCTGAGGTTTCTTATCTTATGTGATGTTCCTTCACGTGGCAACACTGCTGCAACTTGAGCTTGGCCACTATTCCTTGCAGTTTCTAACAATGTCAGTTGATACTAGTTGAGCATAATGGTGTCTATGTCATTCTTATTTACATTTATCTACTTCTACTACTTCAATTAAATTTCACTACCATGCTTTCCAAGATTTGGTTTTATTTTTGGGACATAGGTATATAGTTGCTAAAATGCTTTCTCTGAACATATGTACTCGCGTTGGTAATCTATTGAAGCTAAGGTTTGCTTCAAAAACTTGCATCATAGGTCTATATTTGCCTAACAAAATAACAAGTTGATCACATTATCATGTTCTGTTCTGTAACTTTTACCAACAACATCTAGAATTTCATGTGGGATTTATTATTAATGGTGCAGTCCACTGGCGGTGGCCATGAACAGAGTGTTGGCCAACGATATCATACAACTCTTTCATATACTGTTGATGTGGAGCCGAAAATGTGGTTACCTGTTCAACTTGTTGAAGGCCGGATCTCCAAAGAGATAAAAATGAACCTTTTCTGCCTTGGAGAAGCCGCACAAAAAGCATCTGACAACATTCCTTCTGGTTAATGCCATTCTAATTTCCTTTCTTGTATTGCCTATTTAGGTTCGGATTACTTTTGGACATGGTTTTGAACATACGACTGCACGTGTAGTTTACTTAACTTGTTTTATCGTTAGTAAAATTCTACAATACCTTTTATAAACAAATTTCTATCGAATACTTGCTTTGCCAAAATGATGATAAATAGATGTTGTGGACTTCCCAAAAAAAGAGCTAAATGAACTTTTTGAGTTTTGGATCAGAACTAACATTATAGGTATAGCAGCAGTTGTATCAAATGGTTGTATTGAAAAACATGTGCTTGATTTAGGCTTGAAATTACGATATCGTACTGGTTAAATCCAGTTGAAAACTCCATCATATTATATATCATGAGCAAACCTGATAACTGTTTGAAATATTTGATTAGTTTTAGTTACAGGTATGGAATAGATTCCATTTGTATTCTTTCAACTTGGTTGTCATGAGGTAAATATGCTTTACCATCATACAACTAGTAGGGTATAAATGCTTCTAACATTTCACAAATACTTGAGGAAACCCTCCAATCCCAAGTGATATTGGTATAATTCTCTATGGGGCCGTTTACCAAATGCTTACTCAGGTAAGCGCTTACCAAGTCATATTACCTCATCGGATGAATATGGTAAGGACCAAGAATCTTACTTGATAAGAGCGAGACAAGGAGCAAGAGTCTTGCCCGGTAAGTGAGGGCGACGACTCTTACCATGGTAAGCACTTACCGGGTAAATTGTTGCATGCAATGTCGTTTTGGTGGACTAAAATCTTACCCGGTAAGTATATAATAGTGTTAAATTTTATTGGTAAGCACTTATCGGGTAGGTATTTGGTAAACGACGCCTATAACACAATTACATGTAGGGTTCAGAGCCAATTTTAAATGTTGAACATATGCCAGTATTGTTAAAAACATCCTTAAATGAAATATCTATATTTATTTGTCAAATTATAAAAAGAGTAGATTACGGATTTGGCCCCTCATGTTAACAGTCATCCACTTTCTCTGCCAACCTCAAGGGTATTATGGTCTTTTTACTATTATTCCTATTTTAACATTTTTAATATTTTTCTTTTTATTGAATCTTCATCTTCTTAACTTTGAAGATAAAGAACAATGAAAGAACATTTTTAAAATCAAATCCAAAATAAGAATCTAAAATCACTTAACAATCAAATAATATCTTATATCCCCCCATATTCTTCATAAAAAACATTAAAGAAAAATCTAAAAACTAAATCAAAACTGAATAAAAAACTATAGATTAAAATCCCCTAAAGACCATCTCCAACTTTGACATTTTATAAAACACCATAAACATCAAATCTAGTGGATCCATTGACACAGACTAAAAACTCAACTCTAACCATACTCTATTAAAAAACACCAAATTTATAAACCCATATTAAAATCAATATATTTTATTTATTATTAAACTATTTATAATAACAATAATTATAATTTTGTAAATACGTATGATAATAATAAAATAACTAATTTTTTGTTAATTTGACACTCCTCTGCAAGTCAAAATTTAAACTATCCAAATTTGCCGTGTCAATTTAACACTCCTTTGTAGGTCAAAATTTAAGGCGGACAATTTTTTATTTTTATTTTATCGGTTGGTTGGAATGGATTAGACGGGCAAAATGGATATTTGACGGTCGATTGGAGATGCTGATGCCGCCTTCTTGCAAATTTAATAGAACCCACAAACAAATTGGTTGATGAACGTGAATACAGATCAATGACGTAAAATCAGTCACAAATCGGGCGGTCAGCATACACACACTAACAAGAAACGACATATGATCTAGGGTTTTGTTGATGTGGTGATGAAGGTGAACTTTCAAGAAAAATGAAAAATCAATTAAAAATGTTAAGATGGTAGAAAATAGTAAGAAGATTATAATACCCTTGAGGTTAACGAAAAAAGTGGATGGCTGTTAGCCTTAGGGACCAAATTCATAACAAACTGCATAAATAGAGTTTTCTTTTGTAATAATTAAAGTTAATGGACCAAATTCGTAATTTTTGAGTTACCTTAAGAACCAAATTCGTAATTTACTCTTATAAAAATTAGTATTTCTTAGCAATTGATATAATTCAGCACCCATGTGTGGCATACCAAATTGCTTCAAACGCAAGTATACGTTTCCTTGGTGGTGTACGTCAATGGATCGATCTAATGACACGTTACACTAAGATATGAATTGTGTGGAACGATTCAAATGTCGCAGGTTAAAGCAACACTGGTTACGAAATTTAAAAAACACTCTTGAAATTCAATGCACACAATTTTCCTTGATAAGCAAGTGAGCATCTCTATGCAAATCAGGTAATACTGGTTGCAAAAGATGAGGGAAACCATCATGTGCAAGTCGAAAGCAACGGGAGCCAAGGCGCAATTAATTCTGTAAGTTGCATACAATGAAAACTCAAAGCTAAGCCATCAGATGGGTGGCCAAATGTATATATAATCTACAAAAAGGTCTACCCCAGCTCAGCACTTGATAACTATCAAGCATCCCAAAGAATGATAGAATCATTAATATTTGGCTGGCTGGCTGGCTGGTGAGTTGGCAGAAGGGCGGGACTAGAACTAGAATGAACATCCGACTATACACAAATAAGGCATTACAGACATTTACATTATTTATCGATCCTGAGGTTATTACAAAGATGGCCAAGTTCAGGCCTGCCCACCATCCAAGTCGTGAATTTCATCTCTATAGCAGAAGTACAGTATAGGTAGGATCTAAACATGATCAGTAGAAAGTAGCGCCTGCAGGTGTACAACGTAAATAGTTAAGCAAATGTCTCTTGAAACTTTTATCACTTTAACAATGTACAACTCACCTCAATGCTTTGATTCCCATATCCATGATGTATGCTTCATGGTCGTCATCATTACCTTCAAACTTCTCAAGTTCCTTGCTATAGAAGAGAATGTCGTCTCGAAGATGGCCAGCTCCAGCACACCTTCATAAACAGTAATAAAACTATTTAAATAATCAACTCTCTGGCATAAAACAAGTATGTAGCTCCTCTATATTCAGAGTTCTTGACATGCTGGTGATTACTCCATTAACACCCATGTGATTTTTTAGGGATTACCCTATGGCTGCCAACCTTGATATACTTCAAAGTTAATCAATAATCATCGTGTCAAAAGACTTGGATTGACTTCATGTATGACTGGTATAAACTCGAGCAATTAAAATTTCTTATTTCAAAAGGTAACACACAGAACTCTAGAACTCAGAAATGCATATCGATGGGACATCTTGATAACTGAAAAGGAGGCATACCTTTCTATTACATTGTCCACATCTGATTTGCTCTCAGGACCATGCACAAGAACTCTAGTAAGGCTAAGTATGTCACGGTAATCACCCTTTTCACGTGCTTCTAAATATGAATCTTCAGAAGAAAAATTCTGCGCAATTGACGAGGATGCATGTCTATTACCCGCTTGTGCTGGTGCATCATGTGATGCTAACTTCCCTTCGGATTGAAGTCTTATACATATGATAGCCATCGCATATGCAACACCCCCAAATCCTGTGTGTGAGACAAAGAGATAAGACCCTGCAGAACTGCACAAGAAGCAGTTTTAGTGTTACAAAAAGTTCATTTCTGAAGCAGAATAGTTCCAAATATACATGCCTTTCTTTAAGTTGTGGGCACCCACAACCTAAATAGTTGGTCATGTGCCAACTGTAAACGGTGCGATAAAAATCAGCTCTGCTTCTGTGGTAATAAAGAGGTAATATTTAGTCCAAATGCGATGGATGCTGTAGCTACAAACCCAACTTTTACTGTCCGAGTACTATCAATTCAATCCTCTTTGAGCTTCCAAGGTTCTATTACCATCAGCTAAAGAAGAACCAAAATGCAGAATAATCCTTACTTTTATTTCTAATTACAGTGCTCTGCATGTGTTGCTGCTTATTTGTCTTCTGAACTGAATGATAGACATTTTACCACAAATGGTCCATTATATCCGAGTAGATTTTTTTGACATCATCAAAAGGGTACCACTTCTATACATCATAATCTCGAACCAGTATACTGTTCTTATTGCTACTTGGCCTAGGAATATCCATTTTGGAATTATGCTGGATCAATTACCATCTCTCAGACAATAAAGCACTCAAAATTCTATCTGCATTCCACTTGGTGGCTTAATGCTCAACTGGACTTGAAGGAAGGCTAAGATGTAAGGTACAGTACTCAGATCCCCCAACCCCCCCCCCCCTGCGGGCGCGGCCGGCCGATGAAATGAATAAATCAAAGCACCTTAGATGCAGGAAAAAGAATTTGAGCCTTTTTATCATGTTGCCCGGGAAGAAAAAAAAACTATTTACCTACATACAGCATAAGGTATATTCTTCTCTTGTCGTGAAAAAGATTGTCATACAGTTTGACAAGAGCAACTTGCAGTCAAACGAAGTTCATGCAGTTGGTTTACCTGTGTCCGCATGACCCAAATCACTAGAGAACACAAACAGGTTAACTGATACCCAATTAATTGGTGAACATACAGATAGTAGTGAATCATGCAAGCTGCATTTAGCCATATGACAGGCTGGTTCAAAAGTGACATCATGGTTAAAGTCGAGCAAATACTTACTTGTCCATACAGTACTGAATTGCATCAACATCAGAAGCCAAGGCCTCCCTCTCCCTAGTCAATGGTATCCTTCTGTACGTTATATCGTACCCATCGTCTCTCAAAGCAGCATATACTTCGGTAGGTGTCTTCACGTCCTCTACAAAGATATTTTCCCAATATCCTACTACACTGGCCTGATTCGAAGCAGGGTTATATTCTTCACGGTGTAAAAGCATTCGACCACCACATTTTCTGATCTCCGATATAATATCCTCCTTTAGCCTTGCCTCCATGTGTTCTACCTGCAGAATGTTCAGAAGTAAGCAGGTCGAAAATGGATTCACCTAAGTTACTTTTCTTTGAGTTGAATTGTATGTTAGAACAATTACGCACCACTGAACCAGTGATCCCCACATGCTTGAGTGTGTCTACAGGTTTATTAAGTTCCCTAAGAACGAAAGGTGTGCCATTGATGTAAACAACAGCTTCTTCCCGCAAATCGGTTAATATCACTTTTTGAGGACCATTTCCTTCTGAAGTGGGCCTGGCACCTAAATAAGCTAGCATCTCCTTGGCACCGGCAATTGTTGGAGTTGCCATGCAATACACAGGATAGCCATCCACCTGAAAGAAACAAGAATTTTAGATGCATTTTTGCCAGGATGAAATGAAGATGTTGCTATGGCACAACAAAAGCTTACAAACCATTAATCAGAAAAACATTCTAAAGAAATTGCAAATGTCCAAACACTACAACTCCATTGCCGTCTCCTTATCACCAACACTAGGTTTGCCATGTGCATTGTAGCATTATAATGTGAACTGTATGTATAGATGGTAATGGTATCCTATACATTAAAAGAACCTAATGCAAAACCTATACTATTAAGCCCTTTATATGATAAATCTATCTTCATATACAAATCCTAAACTGCATCATATGTCCATCAACTGTTCCCCACTTGTCAAACAGAACAGAAATCTAATAAGCAAACTTTGCCATTTTAGAAAAAGCAGAACTTGAGTTCTCTGTTTTCCTTCCCATATTTGGATCAGAGAGAAAGTTGGGGTGTGGAATGACCAACAACAGAATCTGCCTTAGCTGCAATCAAGGAAACAGAAAAAGAAAATGACCAGCAGCAGAAGCAGAAGCAGAAGCAGAAGCAGAAGCAGAAGCAGAAGCAGAAGCAGAAGCAGAAGCAGAAGCAGAAGCAGAAGCAGAAGCAGATCAAACTAAGAACAAATCAAGAATCCAAGGGAATTTTAAAGAACACAAGCAAACTCAATATATAAGCAAGTTGCCCAAGAAAACTGAACCCAGCTAGTCAATCAAGCAAATAAGGTCGAAACGTAGACCAAACCGAAGTATCCTAAGCAACAAAAAACATTGCGAGTACAAAAAACCAAGTCTAACCGAGAAATCCCACCCACCAAACCATTAGATCAACCAACTCATTATTAGTCGACCCTATGAGTGACCGAGTTTAAAAAGCTTTCCAAAGAATATTAAGCACATACCGCCATCCCCAACATAGCCCTTTGGGTGCACCAATTAAAATAAGGGATTTACAAGAAGAGGATGCATTAAATGAGGATTCAGATAGAGCATAGGCGAGCAAGTAAGGATGTTTTTGTTCCCAAGCTCTAGGAAGGCTTCATCTAAATATTGTTTTATTAGGGGTTTCATTTATAGTCTAGCCGACTAGATTGGGATCTAAAGGCTGGCATAGAGAGATGTAACTTTTTCGATCGACCATTTGACGGGAATTCCTTCTTTTGTCTCTTTTTGAGAGAAGATTTCATACCACAGTTTGCTTGAGCTGAGCACGTAAACCAAGCCTTCACTGAAATGGTGGTAAGGCAAGCTGTAYGTATCTAGATAGAAGTAGACCTAAAAATTTGTACATTTTAGTAATGCAAACAATCCTTTTTTACACGAGCTTCATCTCATGCATGATGCCCTTTGGGCAACCAATCCATTTCGCTCTATCATTTCTTCTTTGATTTACAGAGTCAATAACAGCGCACCAAGGGAGCAACAGACAATCATGGCAAAGGCAAGCACCAAATGCAACCTAGCTCTCCCCATTCAATAGGCTAAGCCTATCCATTTGCCGAAGCTCAATTCTTCTATAACATAACGGGGCGGGGTTGCGCGCGAGCCGAGTGACGTAGGTGCACAAGAGTACTTCGCGCCACAACCATCTCTTTCATCAAAGCAGAGAAGCTCGCCTTCTTGTTATCCAAAAGCAAAAGTTTGCAGAGTTTTAGAAGTTATGTTGTTTGGCTTTGCAGACATGTACTCACTTGGCACCTTGTGCTGAAGGCCAAAGGCACGTTGATGATCCTTGGGCTTCTAAAATTCATGGTTAAAAATGGAATTTCTTATTTGGACTAGACGAAGAAGCATGTTTTAACTTTCTATTGGAATATACCTTAAATCGTAATCCCGTCATTCGCCAACACTTAGTTTTACATTAAAGCAATGCCCATCTCACTACCATATTCTTTAGATGCTTTGACAACCTGTGGTAGTACTAATTAATGCTAAAAATGAATAGGAGTACTTTGTTCCAATTCCAAAGCCACGGGGCTCTTTTAGCATCAAGTGCCATCACTCATATTCTTAGTTTACTGCAATTAGATGGTTCTCGTTAAGCAAATAACCCTGGTAGCACATAGAATAGAAGTTCGTTATTTGTTACCTAAACTATATGTTAATGGTTCGGCCCTACTAAATCCAAAAATGCATAATGCCTCCATGAAATCAATAATTAAATACCTAAAACAGAATTTACTTGGTTGATCTACGAATTTTTTGCGGAATTATTTTATTTCACTTGTATTAAAAGAGGGAGGTACAAAGGCTATTTATCTACACAAAGAATTCGAGAAACTAAGGAAAGGATTCCTAACCTACAAAGGAGATATGCAAAATTGCTAATTTACAAATATCGGTTTTTGAAGAGCCTTAGTAAGGATATCTACAATTTGTTGTTATGATGGTGTGTATCCAATTATAACTTTGGCTCCAATATTACCGCTTATGAAATGTCGATCAATCTCAATATGCTTTGCCGAACATAGTGGACGAGATTCTTTGCAGTACTTATATGCCTCATTGTCACATGAGAGTTTGATTCACTCTGAAGTCTCAAGTTTGAGTTCATTGAGAAGTCTCTTAAGCTACATCCCTTCACATATTCTGTGCGCCATTGCCTGATATTTGGCTTCTACACTACTTCTGGCAACAATAGACTATTTCTTACTTCTCTATGTGACTAGATTGCCCCATACAAAAGTCCAATAGCCTGAAGTAGACCTGTAGTTGGTGATAAACCCACCCCATCAGCGAATACTTTTATACCTCTATCTGAACCTTTGGAAAATGTTATTCCTTTTACAGGTGTCCCTTTGAAATACCTCAGAATTTGATATGATGCCTCCAAGTGTTCCTCTGTGGGATTGTGCATAAACCGACTCTCAACAGTTACCGGCAACCTATGTTGGGTCTTGGTTGTGAAAGGTGGATTAGTTTTCCCATTAGCCTTGGGTACCTTCTTTTGTCTACTGGAGTGTTGTCTTGTTTGAATCCTACCTTGTTGTATGGATCCATCGATGTGTCAGCTGGCTTATATGCAAGCATGCCCCTTTTTTCAAAGATCTAGGACATACTTCCTTTTAGAGATGAACATCCTTTTCTTGATCTAGCAATTTCCATTCCAAGGAAATACTTAAAATTTCCAGGATCTTTAATCTTAAATTCCCTTGACCATAGGGTTTAGAGACGACCGGCTTCTATGTGATCATTGTCGATCAGGATTATATCATCAACATAGATAACGAGGGTAGTTACCTTTCGATCAGAGATATGCTTGACGAAGAGCGTGTGGTCCACTCAGCATTGAGTGTATCCTGTTCTTTTGAGAACTTCAGAAAACTTATTGAACCAAGCCTGCGGGGACCGTTTAGGCCATACAGTGACTTTCTGAGTTTGCCTACCTTGCCTTGATTTGCATGTGAGTTGATCCTGGTGGGATGTCCATGAAAACTTCTTCAAGATCTCCATTGAGGAAGGCGTTTTTTACATTTAGTTGGTGCAGTGGCCCATCTAGGTCTGCAGTAATAGATAGTCAGACTTTGACGGTGTTCAACCCGGTAACTGGTGCAAATGTTTCTTGGTAGTCTATCCTGTATGATTGAGTGAATCCTTTAGCTACCAACCGCACCTTGTGTCTCTCAAATTGTTCCATCAGATTGTATTACACTGAGAAGATCCAATTGCATCCTACCTCTTTCCTGGTGGAAGATCTATAATCTCCCATGTCTAGTTCTTTTCCAACGCCTTGATTTTTCAAATGTTGTGGCCTTCCATGCTAGGATTCTAAGGCGTCATGAATAGAGATAGGAGCCTCAGTTTCATCCAATCTAGACACAAAAGCACGATAATTGGGTGATAATTCCTTGTAAGCTACAAAATTCTTTATTGGATGTAAAGTGCATGTCAGAACCCCTTTCCTAGGGCAATAGGAAGATCTAGATTATCAGTATTAGTAGGCTCATTAGGAAGCATAACTTGAGATTCAGGAGTTGGAATTGGTTGAGACTCGTGGCACTCTTTAGGTTGTACGACCTGTGCTTCATGTACTTCCTTTTACTGCTTCCTTTTCCTGGTGTAGACAAGTGTTTCCTTTTAAGGGTTGAGATGTGTGTTTTTTGTTGGTGTCATATGGTTGGTTGAAGGATAGATGAAAGGTTGGGTGAGGTTAGTTTGGACAAGTTCCGTTGGTTTAGTTTCTCGCACATGTGGGAAGAGAGTTTGATCTTCTTTGGTTTTGGAAGAGATTGGAGGAAGGGATTGGATTGGGTCGGTGTGAACATGAGAGGGTACTCAATCATATTCCCCCCATTAAACATTTGTATACTATAGGTTATTTTTGAAGAATGTAACATCCATGGAGATAAAAAAAACTCCTTTCACAGAGGGAATAACATTTATTCCCTTTTTGGTTTAGAGAATAGCCGAGAAAAATGAATTTTGAAGCTTTAGGGTCAAGTTTGCTTCTTTGATGTAGATGAATATGGACAAATGTTGTACATCCAAAATCATTTTGAGGTATATAGTGTTAGGAAATGACTATAAAAGGACTTGGCATGGGGTTTAGAATTTCAATACTCGAGATGGCATCGGTTTATGAGAAGGCAGAGAGTGAGAATAGCATCTCCCAAAAAGTTTAGGGATGTTAGAGATGAAGAAAAGGGAAAGAGTGGTTTCAAGCAAGTGTCTACTTTTCCGCTCAGTAACCCCATTCCGTTGAGGGGAATCGAGATACGAGCTTTGACGTACAATCCTTTCATGAACTTCATAAAGATTGGGTTGTTGCCAATGCCTAGTTAGGCAGTAACAGATACCACTACTTGACGTAAATCATGGAGTGTGCTTTCGAGGGCGAATATTTTTGCAGTCTTGTAGTTACTGAAATACGTATCTCGGGTAGCCTCCCACATTTCTTGAGCCATAGAGTAGAGAAGGAAACTTTCCCCTATTCCTAGGGTCACGAAGTTAATCAGCCATGCCATCATTACATTGTTTTCTGATTTCCAGTTTTTGAAAACTGAGCTCATTAGATTTAGGAGCAAGAACAACCCCTGTGAGGTGATCTTCCTTTCCTTGACCACGTATGTATAGCATGACCGATTGAGACCATTGAAGAAAATTGTGCCCATTTAATTTATGATCAGTAATCGAAAAGGGACTCTCAAAGTTTCCTAAAGGATTTGGGTGAGAAGTCTTTGAATTGGAGATGACTTCTGGGTGGGTTTAGGAAGAGGATTACATGCCACTCATAGTGAAATTTTGGCAAAGGTAGGTTAGGATTTCAACAACGGCTTAGGGTTGCAATGGTCAGCGATAGCAAGGAGACTTTAAAGCTTACCGCCGTTTCTTGATCGCTACTGTGATTGAAACACACAAGTCTGGGATCATTGAAACTCTGATACCATGTGGAATTCTTTTATTTCACTTGTATCAAACGAGGGAGGTACAAAGGATATATATACATAGAACCCGTGAAAAAAAGAAAAGGATTTCCAACCTACAAAGGAGATATGGAGAACAACTAATTTACAAGGAGATATTATACTTCTTTTTGGAAGGCAATAATATTAAGAACAAGGAAGAACCCAAGACAATACACCGGAGGTATCCTAATCTCCAAAATCATAACAATCCCTATTTTGCAGGGATACCGAGTATCTTTAAGGATACAGGATATCTCTACATTTTTTAATCTCTCTTTGAATGCTAAGCCAACTAGTAAACTTTATGTACCTTACATCCGAGAAGTTGATTATATACTTGAAGATAATGGAACTTGTAAGTTTTGAGGAAAATATGAATTTCTTCCTTTAGAATAATTAGTAGATTAACAAGATTTACAATAAAAATAAAGAGTAAAGAGCAGTTATTGACAACTATTTACAGATAATAATAAAAGAGTAATTTGTTCACCAAGGAAACTTTCCTTGTATGGAAATATCCTATGGAAAAAAAAATCTAAACCGGGAAGGATATAATTCAAGAAAACTTCATTTTGGCTCTGCAAGTTGTAATATATAGAAGATCACTTGGTAGTACTAGAATGACTCGTGCTGAAGTTGGTACCTGTTTCCATTAGAGATTCTTATAGTGCCCCATGTGTGTATTTCAAGATGAAAATGCTTAAAACCTCACACCTTACCAATAGGGTAAGGTAAGGAAAACTCATTTTACCGGCTGTTCTATCCAGATGATAATTCTGGTTCTCTCTGTTCATTAAAATTGTGATGGGTTAGGCGTGCCTTCTGAAGATAGTGAAACATATTTGACTTTCCAAATTCTGAATGGAATTGATATCAATGACTTGTCATAATTACAAGCTCTATCATTTTTCGTTCATACTCCTCCCAACCAACTAAAGAGACCAATATTGTATTTAAAAGTTCTAACTTTCTATTTTTAAAATGTAAAATCGACTTGGGATATTTCTAGGTCTGTATCTTCAGAACATTCTGCAGTCGTAGGATATCGTAGATTAATGTGATAAACAATGCTTACTAAAATTTGAAGTGAAAAATGACCTATTTGACACACAAAAGTCAAATGGGGACTCTTTCTTAGGACAAAGAGAGAAAAATCTAAACATTGTTTACATTACTAAGATGATGGTGACCCAACTGTAAAATTATCCTGTGTCCGCCACCGCTTTGCTCGCTATAAGAGAGTGAACAATGGGATTACATCCTTCACAAACAAAAAACTAGTCACCAATAGAACTGGCTATCTGAGGACATAGTAGATAATTATGTGGTTTCAAATATAATTTCTCCAATTTCTTTATCTGTTCAACCACATCTCAGCTTACCTTGTAAACATGTGGAGCACCATGGATTTGTATATGGCTAGAAGTTCTCTGACCAGGAAAAAAGTACATTTTAAGTATCGATCCCTTCCCCAGAACAGAACCATTACGTTTTTTAACAATAGCCTCCATTACTGCATCACCGTGTTGAGACTCCTGTGGAGCTCTCAACTCTTCCTGGAAACCAAAGCAGAAGACAGTAACATCAAATTGATGTAACAGGTAGCTTACTAAAAAACAACTTCAGAAATGATGTTAGAAAGAATACTTACAGGGACACTAAAGAACCGTCCAGGTCTCAATCTTATAGACCATTTCATAGCTTGGACTTCAGGTCTCTGATGTAACCAACTTTTAAAGGTAATCTTGTATTCTCCTTGTCCACAGAACCCATCAAAAGCTTCACTTCCAAGATATGCTGCAAAAGCAATTAACCGAAAATAACGTTCCAAGTACTCAGCACCACGGTTCAATGCCACCCTCCTTTCCCTTGGTTCAACATGCTGTTGATTGAATAATTTTCTATACTGCAGTACAGCTTGGCGTATATTCTGCAGTGCTGAACATCTATCGATGACCGCATCCAGGGCTTCTCGGCATTCCACTCCATTTTCAAAAAATCTCGTTATTTTCCACAACAGAAGGATGTCGTTTATACCAAATGCATGACTTGAATCGACTCTTGCTCTGCCCTTAGCAACACTTGATATGGACTCGGCATAATGACCACTTTCATCACCACTTGATGTACCATTGTCTAACTCTCCACATGGCACATCATCAAGTAAAATTCTAATAGGTCTCCCATAATCAATTCGAAGTTTCAGAAGACAAGCAATAACAGTGCCAGTGGTTGTCCGCCCTCTACCCATCTGAGGAGAATAAAGATAAAAAGACTGCTTCATAACGGGCACATATAAGCTCCAACATATCTGGGTCATGTATGATGACAAAGCAACTTAATTTCACTTAAAGGTAGATACCTGGCAATTAAATACAAATGCTGTATCCTTAGATGCAGATGAAATATTCAGAGCCAGTGTGTCAAAATCTGAACTTTTGGGAGCTTTGCCATCAGTGATAGGTACACGGGCATACTTGATGGGGAAGCCATCAGCCTCTAAGGATCTGAAAACCTCTAGTGGGGTCTGGACCACATCAAAGCTTACATGCTCCCAAGCATCAAATATTTCTCCATCTTCAGTTTCGTGAATAACCATAATGTCACCTTCGTAACGTTCAGATTCTCGAAGAATATCTTCTTTTAGTCGGGCTTCCATCCTCTCTACTCTTTCACGGTCAATTCCCTACATGCAACAATTTAATATCAGATTCACCATGGTGACAAAGTGACTGAACAGGTAAATGCATAAACACACACAGAGAGATGCTTAAACATTAAATACTGGAAGATAAATTATCAATTCCCCATCGTCTCAACCCTTCTTTCATTCACTGGTGTATGTATCTCAGAAACACATCATGATTAGTTAAAGAAAAGAATAAAATCATGGGATAACCATCAAACTTACCACCAAACATACCATTTTTCCTTTCTTGAAGAGAGAACATGATGAGAGAGAACATGCATTAACTCACATGCTTCTTCTACAAAAAGAAATTTTGGTAAGTTCCATGGTACCTTTACATTTGCCCTATCAATGATGCAAACTGCATGATGTGTCACAAAAGAATGCAAATTGTACAATGTGTTATAAGATATGGGTCATCAACAAACTAACACATTAACACCTGCCAAAAATTGATCTGACAGTTATAATTTGCTATAAGATATAGGGTCATCAACAAACTAACACATCAACCATAAAGCTGACCACCCACCGATTCCTCTAATTTATTTGGTGCTTTCCTACATGGTATACCCTGCTTAATACTAATTCCTGAAATTCCAAACGCAGGTTCCTACAAAATAACAATGCCTTGATAGGTCAATTATCCATTGAAATTCAGCAAATGTCCTTTAGGATTTGAGAAATCTGTAGAAGATCATAGAACATGAAACCTTGGACCTTTCATATATCTTTAACATCCCTCGGGGTCATCAAAACTTGATTAAGTGAAACGATTTCATTAGCACGGACCAGTACTGCCCTAGATAAACTTGAAGTGACAAGAGAAAGATCTTTCAGTTGCATTCCCTGTCTCAGAAGAGAAGGAAGGATTGTCAATTGGTTAACTTCCAACACCCATTCTTCTGTCAAGTGATTATATCATGATAAAAGATAATCAGAATAACTTTTATGTCAAACACTGAAAACTCGCACTTTACTTAGGGGTGTACATGATGACGTGTTTATGGTTTGAACCAACTTCCAATCTAGCAAAAGCTTGGATCAGATCATAATTAAAATCAGATAGTTGATGGAGGAACTGAGAGAAGACATCTCTACTACTTCAACATGGTTAAATGAACTCACTAGAAGGATTAACAGATCATATCCTATCCTACCCATAGCTAATATTAGTTCATCAGAGTGTGGTGGATTCAAGTTCCATACATCCCCTCGGTAGGGTTTGAATCAGATTCACCTTACAGAGACATTGCAAGTTTGAGAAGGCGGTTAGGTATTCCGTCTGATATCAAACCGTGTCCCAATTATATCTATGTAATTATACAAATGGGATACTAGAAAAATCCCTATCATGGTCTTTATACAAAAAATTGTATTAGGATATTTTGCAGTTCTTGGCCTGACACCAGACACAAGACATGTGCTACTGCTACTGTATTGTGATTTCCTGATGCAAATCAATTAAAATCTCTGGACAAAGAATTGTCTAGCAGTATGGTGGTCTTTAGTATCAGGGTAGGTAAAAAAAACTAGCAGTTCTCACTAGGAGCACACTCAAAATCTCGAGCTATGCATATGTTTCTTTTTTGAATGGTGACAGTTGTTGATCAGGATACATGATGGAGTTTATGCAGCTTGAGTTTACCAGGACAGCAGGGCAAATCACATACTGATTCAAATTCAATGCACAACGAGAACGTGTTGAGAGAGATTATCCCTTCATTACAAGGTGCAAATACAAGCTGTTACTAGTAGTTATGGACAGACAGATATATGAGACCATAGGGATAAGCAAAGGTTCTACAGTTATGCCTCTGGTTGGGTCATTGGCTACATCTAAATTTTGCAATGCAATGGGGCATCCTATTCGTAAGGATTGCTCCAATTTAGCCGATTCTGATTCTGATATAGCCATTTCTGTTAATTCAATGTTTTCTTCGTATGGGATCGAGAGTCTTTTTATTGCTCCTATTTGTGATGCACAAATTTCGTGGAATGTAGATAGCAGTTAGTACTGAATAATCTCATTTTTCAATAATTCAATCATTTCATTTACCAAGTTCACTGTTACCGAGATTTGTCAACATTTTTATGTTTCGATGCAACATCAAAATACTGATATAACTAACCCGAATTTTCCACAGCAGAACAGAATAAGGGGACAGTTGATACTTGATTGATTCTAAACATCTGTTATGCAAATTTTGTAAAAGATTTGCAGATGCTCCATTTTTCCATAGAAATATATTCGTTCAAGAGATTTTCACCTTATACGGCTCCTCGTTCAATTCTTTTGAAGTTACTGAATCCTTTTCCACGTCCCAAAATCCCCTTCCTTCTTCCACTCCGTCAGGTGAAGGGTAGTTCCACAGAGGAACAAGTCTTGTCATAAAATATATATTGTAGCCATGTAGAAGTGACGTGTTTCTTTACTCATGCAATAGCTAAGGTATACAGACTAGTAGCTAGATCATATACATGTGAGTATGTAACGAAGTAATTGTGGGCATTATCTGACTGAAGTTACTAGCCATAAACTAGCCCATGAGTTGAAATGACATGCATTTGTATGTGCAGGAAGACCATTCAACCCTAAGTTTCTTATGCCATGAACAAGAAAAAAGGGTCATCCACGGACCAAGAAGATGGTACAGCCAATGGAATTGGTAAGCACTTTAGAATAATGTCATTATTATTTTAATTAATATTTCTAGAATTTGTCACATATATCACAATGGCACGGAGTTAAAACTTGATATATCACTCTAGATAATACACGAACAGCAAGATCTGATTGGAGCTCAACAACAAAGCTCAAAACATTGTGTCCTAACAAATTATACAAATTTATAAGAGAGATAAGTACCGTATACTCCAGCATGTTCTTGTAAGGTCTTTCAACCTCGCGAAGCACAAAGGGTTTTCCATTAATGTAGATAACAGGTTCTTCTCTCATGTTGTGCCAAAAGACTGGCCTTCCATCTTTAGAGCTGCATATCCTTTGAATAACAGACTGAATTCCTTCGACAGTTGGGTTTGCAACACCATAAACTGGGAAACCCGGAATTTCTCTAAAATTGGGTGCTCCCTCTACTCTCTCAGGCAAATTAGATTGTTGACAGCCAGGACAGTGATCACTTTTAAGAACAGTTTGACTTCCCAACACCTCCCCAGTCCTTGAGACAGCAACTATGCCCATCTCACAAGGGTGACCATCGACAGATTTGGTTATTTTGTTCAACGGTTTTAGATTTGCATAACCAAGTGCACCCATTGGGTCCCTCCTCAACAACCTGCAACAGCAAGCAACAGACAAGCACATTTCAGGACATGAAATGTCATATATGCAAACATGGAAATGTGATGTATATATACATAGGGGGTAAATCAAGTGAAAGCCACTCAAATATTACAACCCATGAAAACCAATCCAACCATTCAATGAGTTTCATTTTAAGCTAGGATTCAAGGTGTATCACATCTTTTGTTCTCGAGTGTGTGTGTCTTTCATATACGAAAGGTATTTACATGTTTTGCTTCATATGTGAAACAATCATGCATGCTTTATGTATGAAACAACAATATACGTCTCACATGTATTGTTTCATACGTGAAACAAAACATTGGACTGGTTTTTAACATTTTTAGGGTTTTCATTTATTCTTTCTCCTATATATATGACCATCTAGATGCTAGGTGGATATTCTATCTTTATTTTTTCAATCTAAAACTTAGATAAGTCAGACCAAACAATGTAAATGATGAAATTTCAGATTATCCCACTGTATTGAAGTTATGCAAACAGAATCACTGGCATTAGAACCACTAGTTCATTTATTTGTATTTTCTTTTATATTCCATTTTTCATTTCAAAAAGATGGACAATCAAACCTATTTCTCGATCTGAGGCCGAAACCTAAAACTGTGCTCGAGAGATAGCTGTCCATACACTAGTATTAGTTGCATAACAAAAATGCGTTCCTCGTCACTTTTATTTACTATTCTATTGAATAAAAGTAATTCATAATCATCCGGTATGAAATTTATGGTTTCTATTGGTGTAAATCCACGTAGGAAATGACGCATCCATTAAAGCTAAAGCATACGGCTTTATGGATGTAGATGGTGATATCTATACATATGGATCATGGATGATACTCAATACATCCAAAATACAAACGAGATGGATGCTTGTAAAATCTTCTAAGATGTTAATAGTAAAAGAATTGGAGTTGGTTGCCCTCTCGACGATGAAGCTCATCCCCCATCATCCAAATGAGAAGGATTCTACTTTGCGTTTTAAATGAAATCAACCCAACATTCCCCACTTGTATGACTGTTGCTGAGCACCCCGACTTTTTTTGTATGAATGGAACATTTTTCTATAAATCTCTATCTAAAAAGAACGCCCTTCTTGACGATCCTTTACTCCAACAACATTTCCTCGAAATTTCCAAAACGAACAATTTCAACGAAATTGAGGAGGTTTGCAAGTTAGCTTCTAAGATTGAGAAGTGTGCTAAGAATAAGAAGGCCGAAAAGGCAACTCCCAAGCCATTTTCAAAGTATAGAGTTCATTCCAGAATCCTTTCTATAAAGAAAACCCACCAAAAGGTGAAAACTCAAAGCAAGACAAGGGTAGAGGTCCTACTGATGTACTGAAAAAGAAGTGCTTCAAATGTCAGGGTTTAGGACACTTTCAAGCTGGATGTCCAAACTGGAGAGTCATGATTTTGAGAGAGGTTGAAGAGGTTCACATTGTAGAAGAAGGAGAAGACGAGATGCCAATCTATGATGAGGAATGTTACTTTGAAGAAAGGGTTAAACCTGATGAAGGAGAGCTTCTAGTGATACGAAGAGTCCTCTATGCAAAAGAGGGGGATCCTAATGACGAGCAAAGGGAGCAGATATTCCACTCAAGGTGCACGATCAAGGGGAAGGTATGTAGCCTTATTATTGATAGTGGTAGCTGTATGAATGTTGCATCCACAAACCTTATCAATAAACTTAGCATTCGGACCTCATCTCACCCAAATCCATACAAGCTTCAATGGCTAAATCAGGGATCTAACATGAAAGTAACCAAACAGGCCTACTCTCATTTTCTATTGGTAAGTCTTATCAAGATCAGGTTCTTTTTGATGTTACACCTATAGATGCATGTCATACGTTGCTTGGAAGACCTTGGCAATATGATAGACAAGTTTTGCATGATGGTTATCAAAACACCTACTCTTTTGTCATGAATAATAAGAAGGTAATCCTCGAACCGCTACCATCTACCCTACTGCAAAAACAAAAAGAACCAAGGCTGGTTACTATAGCTGAGAAAAGTTTATCTATGAATGAAGCACGAATAGAGAGAGCTATTTGCAAAGGTAAACTTGTTTATATTTTGCTACCGGTGGGAAACAGGTTCAATGATGATGAAACTCCTTTGCATGTTGTTGTCCGTCCGCTTTTAGAAGAGTTTAAAGACGTTTTTCCTTCTGATTTACCTCCTGAATTACCTTCACTTAGAGGTATTGAGCATCATATCAATCTAATTCCAGGAGCACCCTTCCTAACAAACCATCCTACCTATGTGATCCAGAAAAGACTCGAGAACTACAACGTCAAGTCCAAGAACTCATTGACCGTGGTTACGTACGTGAAAGCGTGAGTCCTTGCTCTCTTCAAGCTTTGTTGGTCCCAAAAAAAAGATAGGACCATGAGAATATGTGTTGATAGTAGAGCCATCGATAATATCACGGTCAAATATCGCTATCCTATTCCGAGGTTGGATGATATGCTTGACGAACTTCATGGTGCCAATTTGTTCTCGAAAATTGATCTTCGGAGTGGGTACCACCAGATCAGAATGCGTGAAGGCATTCAAAACAAAAGGTGGGTTGTATGAATGCTTGGGAATGCCATGTGGACTTCACAATGCTCCTAGTACTTTTATGAGGTTGATGAATGAGGTTCTTACACCTTTTCTTGGTGATTTCGTCGTTGTATACTTTGATGATATACTTGTGTACAGCAAAGGTGCAGAAGAACATACTCAACATTTGAGAAGAGTATTTGAAGTGTTGAGAAGCCAGAAACTCTATGGGAAGTTGGAGAAGTGTGAATTTTTCCTCTAAAAGTGATCTTTCTTGGTTATGTTGTATCTGAAGATGGAATTTCGACGGATAAATCAAAGGTGGCAGCAATCAAATCATGGCCAATACCTTCGAGTGCAATAGAAGTAAGGAGTTTCCATGGCCTTGCTTCGTTTTACAGGAGGTTTGTCAAGAATTTCAGCACTATTATTGCACCTCTCACTGAATGTATCAAACAAGGCTCTTTCGAATGGACTCAATCTGCCCAGAATGCATTTGAGAAAATTAGAGTGTTTGTGCACATCGCCTATCTTGTCCCTTCCAGATTTCAACCACTTGTTTGAGGTTGAATGTGATGCAAGCGTAGTTGGCATAGGGGCTGTCTTGAATAAACACCCTATAGCCTATTTCAGCGAGAAATTGAATGAATCAAAGAAGAACTATAATACGTATGACAAGGAGTTCTATGCTATTGTACGTGCCCTAGATCATTAGAGTCATTACTTGAGGCCAAAACAGTTTGTTCTACATTCTGATCATCAAGCCTTGAAGCATATAAACGGCCAAAACAAGTTAAATCCAAGACATGCAAAATGGGTAGAATTTCTCCGATCATTTATCTTTGTTTCAAAGTATAAAACAGGGAATTCTAACATTGTTGCAGATTCCCTTTCAAGGAGATATGTCATGCTTACTATTCTTGGGGCAAGAGTGCTAGGCTTTACTTTCATTAAAGAATTGTACCTAAATGATCCGGATTTTTCTAAAGTTATTCAAGAATGCAAAGAACGAGCTTGTGGCTCTCATTTCATACAAGACGGGTTTCTTTTCAAGAACAACAAACTTCGCATTCCTAAGAGGATCCATAAGGGAGCTACTAATTAGAGAGGCCCATGAAGGAGGATTGGCTGGTCATTCTAGCATCAACAAAACCCTTGGTGTATTACAAGAACATTTCTACTGGCCACACATGGAAAGTGATGTTACTGCTCTTATTGCTAGGTGTGCAACATGTCATCAAGCTAAAAGCCAGTTTCATCAAAGCTTGTATACTCCATTAAGTGTTCCTTCTCAACAATAGGAAGATATTTCTATGGATTTCATTGTGGCTTTGCCTCGTACTCAACGTGGAAAAAATGCTATAATGGTTGTGGTGGATCGTTTCTCCAAAATGACACTTTTTTCCGTGTCACAAAACAGATGATGCCATTCATGTTGCTGATTTATTTTTTAAAGAAATTGTACATCTTCATGGAGTCCCTAAAACCATAGTTTCTAACAAAGATGTCAGGTTCATGAGTTAATTTTGGAAATCATTGTGGAAGTTATTGGGCACCAAGTTATTGTTCAACACTCCCTATCATCCGCAAACGGATGGACAGACGGAGGTAACTAATCGAACACTCACAACCTTGCTAAGAAGTATGGTGAGCAAGTCCTTGAAAGATTGGGATGTTAAACTTTCTTTTGATGAGTTTGCTTATAACCGATCTCCAACTTATGCTATTGGATGCACACCATTTGAAGTGAACTATGGAGTGAATCCTCTCACCCCTATTGATCTGATACAACTGCCTAAGGGTAGTGAAGTTCACTTTGAGGCATCAACTCGAGCCAAAGAAATGCAAAAGATTCATGAACAAGTCAAAGTAAAGATTGAACATGTCAACAACTTGTACAAGAAAAAGGCCAACAAGCATCGCAAGAAGGCTCTCTTTGAAGCTGGAGATCTCATGTGGTTGCACTTAAAGGAAGGAAAAATTTCCTTTAAAAAGGAAGAACAAGCTAATGGCAAGAGGAGATGGACCATATAAGGTGTTGGCAAGGATTGGAGATAATGCCTACAAACTAGAGTTACCTGGGAATACAACAAACATATCAACAACTTCCAATGTTGGAGATCTTTCTCCTTATCTTGAAGATGGTCCATTGGAAGATTTGAGGGCAAATCCTTCCCAACCAGATGAGGTTGATACAGAGGCATCCATGTTATTTTCAGCCGGTACAAGAGCAGCCCATTTTATGTCTCCAGCTCACCTTGGGTTTGATTCAGACTCTTATTTTGGGTTCGAACAATTAAAGGGAGGAGTATAATTTGTTGGCAGCCCAAAGGAGATTAAGTTTTTTTCTCATTAATGCTTCATTAATAGTCCTTTAATTGCTTTCCAACTTTTGGTCTTTCTTTAGCCTTCTCATTTTTCAAGAGTTATGTTTATTTTAATCTTCCAGCCCTATATCTGCGGTTCCAAGTTGTAGCAGGAAGGCATCTTTATTTTGAATAATGAGTTACAATAGCTTGTGAAGCTGTTTTGAGTGTTCATACACAAAAGGAGTCGATTCTTGATTGTTGCTAGTGCGGTGGTGTTGCTTTATCACTAGTAACATCAACCTTCGCCAATTTCGTTAATCTTGGTGGTGTTTAAGTACTTTATCCTTGATCTAATCAGATTGTTAATCTCACCCTAGTCTTATCCCTCTTTTTACCCATCCACCTACGCATCAACTTGCTTTTTGGGTTTTAAAATATTACAAGTACTCATTGGGGCCATTGGGCTTTGACTTTTAGTTTTATCAAATGAAAAGAAGACAATATAAAGAGAAGTATTACTACTGCCATAAAGTTTATAAAAAATCCAAAGAAAATTGTTATGAAAGCAGATCATCTAAGGCCTATGCCTCGACATTGCCTCATGCCGAACCGAACCGCCTCACTAAGCCAAGGCGTAAGCCTCGTCTAGGGTCCAAGAGGAGCCGCCTTAGGTGCATTTTTGGGCCGCCTCTTGAGGCATACGCCTCAAACGATTTTTAAAACCATGAAACCAAAGGAACGATTTTTTGTAATTTGCTCAAAATTAAAATAATAATTACTTAACATATATAATGATTATTAAGAGAAGGTTTCAATTCAAACCATGCAAACCATAACCAACGCTTATATTAGGAAACAATCGAGATATTTATGGACAATGATTATGATTCATTCATTATGATTGAGATATTTATAGAAGATAATAGAGTTCGTTCATTATGATCATGGCTTTAGATTCGGAAACAATCGAGATATTTACGGAACCATGTATTTATTAGGATAGATGGACGGTTAAGATTGGTTTGTATGGTTTGTAAGAATTACATGGTTTGTATTTGAAACCTCCTCTAATTATTAAATATATAAATCATAAAATTATAAAAAACTTGGTTGGTAAGATAGTACTATGGTATTGGATCAGATCGGATCAAGATCTAACAGGTTTTATATGCAATTTCACGAATGTCTTTTAATTTGATGATCATATCCCAAGGGTATTGCTAACTAAAATTCAGCAGCTAGTTTGGTGGACAATTTGAGTCATGTCTAGTAGAGATGAATGAAAAAAGTATGTTAAAGATGTGATGTAGAGAGAACAATATAAGCATACTATATTCATAAGAAACTGTAATTTAGAAACATATGACTCGAGCCAGTTTTATATGACAGGACAAACTTGAACAGCCAATTACATAGTCATGAATTATTACCTGCGAATTATGGTATACAGCTCAGGCCTTGCTTTCATCCAATCATAAAAATTGAAATGGCCAGGAGATCTAAGATGATGCACTGCTCTCTCTATATGGAGATACACAGCAAAGCATATAAGATAGTAATATCTTTCCAGGTACTCAACGAAAAAAGAAAGCAATGCCTCCCTCTTCATCTCATCGGGTTGACGCAAAATACTATTTCGATATGTAGCAATAGCTTCACGTAAGTTCTGTAACACAACCGACAATGCACACTTGAGAGTTCATAATAGTCAAGAACCAACTGTTAGAATTAAGAGTTACAAGCCTCAAATCGTTGCAATGGAACTACTGGAAGATATAATCAGACTGCAGGCCCACAACTAAGTACATCAATTAACAACTTAATTAATGGACCATAACCATGTACCTAGTCCTGAGCATCGCTTCTCCAAAAACTTCTTTTAATGCTAAGTTGCTAACAAGACAACTAGCAATAAGAAGCTTTTACCTATCACAAAAGTTTTCTGAAATAAACTTGACAAAAATAAAGTTAAAGTATGCCAAAGAGATCAGGGAGAGGAGAAAAACCTGCATGGAGGCACACTTATCAATTACTTTGTCCACTTGTCTTTTGCCTTCAACACCACCCTAAAGGCATGTCAACATGAAGAAATTATTCATGACTTGTCTAGAAAAAAATTTGGCCAAGCTATAAGCAAAACCTTCATCAGCATACCTCTAACACCCGGATCAAGCTTCTTATGACAGTATATTCCCCTCTACGAAGTGCCTCCTCTGTGTTTAGCATGTTGTCACTTGCATTTGAGCCACATACAGAAACTTTTCCAATTGAGTTTGTCCTTGGGATGCCTAACAATAAGATACAAAAGAAAAATATGAAGTACATTGAGAGATGCAACAATTTTTGTTGATGTAAACAAACATTATGCTAGAAAGGGAGGAGTGAAAAACTGGACAAAAGCAAAGAAACAACTTCAGAAGGATGAATCTCTATTAATGACACTAATATATTTTGACATGACTCGCATGGATGAATAAAAAGAAACAGAGAGCAAGTAAAGATGAGGTATTAGAAAACCAGCCTAACCAGTGACCCAGTGTTCAAACCAAAAATGATGGTGAAAAAGTTCTAACAAGTGGCTGTTCGTGCTTTAGGAACATGTGCAATTCAATTTTTCACTTATACCAAAAAGCCTAGCAACTTGATGTTCATGTCCTACATATACAATGACATGAGACAAACATCTTCTTTCCTCTTGTAGTTTAGGAAGTAAAACTATTTATACCAAGAAATTTAGACCAACTTTAATGATCAACATAATGGAAAATGAATATAGCATGCAAATCAATAGACATTAGCGTCCCCTCTCTCCAAATCTGTACAAAACCAATAAACTGAAGAACTGAACACAAAACTGCAATTAGAAACTAAATCTATAGATCACATGATGTTAATGGCATGACAGTTCAATAATGAACTGTTGACCTATCCCCCCTGTAACTCAATGACAGGTAAATCAAAGGTACCCAGTATATCCCACTCGGAGGTTGGGGTAGGATGTATGCAGACCTTGTCTTTTTGTTTCTGTGTAAGACCCCCCCCCCCCACGGGCTTGTGAAAGGATTTCGGAAGAGCGTGTCAACAAACTTGAAAGTTTTGACGATTTTGAAAACAAACTGGATAGCAAACAACAAAGGAAGATAAGAGTAGAAAGGGTGTGCGCAAGCAAGCAACAAGGACGATAAACAATAAAGGCGGTAGTACTACTAACATATGTGAGAAAAAAAGGTTAGCACAAGCAAGGACAATAAAGCCAAGTATGAAAAGACTAAACAACTTAAAACAGAGTACATGATGTCAAGAGATCCCCTCCCTCTATCCCTCCTAGTAGTAATGGCATTGCTACCCTATTTGTCGGCTCTCTGATCCTCCCTAGTCAGTAGCTATCCAAGTTGATCATGAACTCTGCTACCCTAGCCCCTACAGAAAAAAAATCATCCCACGTCCTCATCCCCTCAACCATTATGTTCTCGACCCTCACTGATGCAGACATCTGTCTCCTACTAAAGTGTCCAAACCATGGCAGTTTTCCCTCTCTCTATATTTATCCGTGATAGGCGCAACTCCTAGCCCAACCCTAGAACCCCGTTCAGTATCCTTTCCAACATGGTCTGACCACATGTCCACCTCAGCATCCTCATTTCTACAACTTCCAGCTCCTTCTCATGCCCCTTAGTGGCCAACACTTAAACTGATACAACGAAGTAGGTCTGATGGTCACCATGTAGAATTTTCCCTTCAGAACCTTTTTGTCAACAATAATCATTATAAACCATCTAGTTCAACCACCTTGAATCATGCATTCCATATATTTGAAACAGTTTTTGGGAGCATCCATTGTTCCTCAATGTTGACTCCTACCCACTTTTACTACACTCCCTGCAGATATTGCATCATAGGTACTCGGTCTTAGAACAGCTATGCACAAGTCTTGGTTTCCACTGCCACCCTCCACTTCCCACTGCTCCAATTTGATGTGTACCTCTCTTTTCGTCTTGACTACTGGTGTGATGTCATCGACAAATAGCATGCACCACAGGACACCTCTTGAATCCCACGAGAAATCTCATCTAGGTTCACATCAAAGAGGAATGGGCTTAATTGCAACCCCTGGTGCATCCCTATCTCCATCAGGAAACACTTTGTGATGCCTATCGGGGTCCTCACACAAAGTCTTGTTTGCATGCACATATCTTGTATTGCCCTATCATGCCTCCATGGTACTCTTCTCTCCTCCAGGCTCCTCCAAATCACATCCTGAGGTACGCTATCATAAGCCACAAAATCGATTCAATCAGCACCAACAGGTGATGGCAACAAGATTGAAGCAGAAGCGACAGCACTAAATCATCAACCAATGACAACGAAACAATTATTCTGTGGATCAGTAGCGGCAACAATGGGATCTCTGGGTTTTATGAGAATGGCAAAGAGGGTTAGGGTTCGCTTAATCGTAATTAAGCTATGATACCATGTAATTTTGAGAAAACAGCATATTGTCTAGTTTAATGACAAAACTACAAGATAGAGTTTAAATGCGTACTTTGTTTCTTATTGATACGAAACTAATCTAAAAGTATAAGAAAATAGTGTACCTTATCTGTAGCTATATTATTCTAACTTACAGCTATATTATCTAAACCGGCTGCATACTTTTATGTGTTATCTAATTTCATATTTCCAATTCTTTCTTGGCATTATTGATCTTGTAACACACAGATCATGATGAACTCCCCACAAGAGTCAATTGAAAAGATAAATAATATATTTTGCTCGTATAATCCCAAGTATAGACTCAAGAATTCAGAAGTTACAATCCACAACAAACATGCCCAATCCAAAAAAATTAATAATACTAGTAGCAGTACAGTAATACTAATGCTTAAAATAATAATAATAATAGTAACAAAAAGAAAGAAATGAATAGAATAGAATTGAAAGAAACAAAGTGGGATTGAAAGTATTCGCTCCATCCAATTGCCTCCAGGACTACTACAAAACTTCAGTGTCCCTAAGTTGGAGATTAACCTACAGAAATACCCAGGAAGTGCCAGACCATAAAATTATACGAGCATGATACGATAGAATGTATCTGAAACCGAGGCTGATAACAAGAAAAAACTACCAGAAGCTCCTATTAGGTTGAAATAGATCAATGTAGCAATCACCATCCCTGTGGTAGTACGTCCACGCCCCATTTGACAATTGAAGATGATCTCTGTCTTCACATCAGCTTTGGAAATTCGATCAACCTACAAAAAATGAAAGCAGAAACCATATAAGGAGCAGATTACATATATGCAGATTCATTTTCATTAAATGAAATAAGTGCCATGCTTGTGGTGTAACTGCTGCTAATTATAGCATCTCCCTCCAGATAATCATGCTGAAACTACCACCATCGAATTTAGAAACTGTCTTGTACGAGTCAACTCCTACACAATGAGATTGAGGGCACTTGTATACTAGCAAGTGTTCAAGAGAAATCTTGTAAATTTAAATAGGATTTGCATTCTCTTGTTTTATGAAACAACTAGATTTGATAAAATACAAGACAACAACCCATTTCTTACTATGGTATGGTCTTTTTATAAATTATAATATCTGCTTTCAACGTCTTTTATAAAGCACTAATATAAAAGGAGTTCATATATACATTAACCTATCTAAAAGCAAAGACTTCTTCTGCATCTGCGCCATGTCGCCACCTAGGAAATTGCTTCTCATATGATTGTGGATATAATTGGGTTTTGATTGCTTAAAGAAAAATCCTTTTCATTAAATTAAAATTTCACTATTCACTTCCTTCCACAACTCATCTGATACCTTACGAATATAAAACCAGAACCCATCTTTTAACTTCGTATGGTTCCACATAATCTTCGCTTCACCTTCTTTTACATAGCACTAACATAAAAGGATTTTGAATATATTAACACACACACACACACACACATATATATATATATATATGTTAAGCTATCTACAAGTGCACAGTCTTTCGCATCTTGCTCCATTTAGGAAATCACTTTTCACACGGTTGCTAAAAAATTGGGTTTTAATTAAGTGATTGTTGATGAAAACTCTCAATAAGTAGACTCAATGATGGGCCATGCACCAAAACAATAACCGTGTAAACCCTAATACATCTGTATTATAATTATAATGTTTCTTACTTTGCAGTTGGTACTCTTTCTACCACTATGTTAATATACAGATGGTTTCAAAATAAACATTTATCAATATAGAACACTCGTATCAATAAAATGTGGTATCTAATAAGTTCTACCTACTATTGGGCCAAAAATTGAAATTCTTGATCAATGGAGGAACAATATCACCATTTTTGTTCAATAAGATACCAAAGTGAATGATTGACTCATTCAATTAAGAACAAAAGCTCATTGGTTTTTCTTTCCCTATTGAGTGAACCTATTAGCGGAATCTAATTAGTTAAAATGAAAGTAAAAGTTTTATAAGATTATTGTTCACCCTTGATCAGAAATCCTTTCAATTGGCTAGAATCTCCGGATCCTACGAGTGAATCGAAAGTTAGATCCTGAGTTGAGAACCAAAACTAGGCGCAAAAAACCAACCAGACTACCTAGTCGATAAATCAAGAATACAGAAAAAAAACAGCAATTGGACCTTATAATGCAACACATAATATGGCTATATTTGCCACTTTTCAAGCTGGACATGAATGTCAATCAAGAGTTACTATAGCATATGATGTATCCTATTACAGAAGAGTTGTCATGTTTAATTTGAAGTATGCTTGAGCCATAACATAAGCATGAACATATGTGTAGTTCAAAATATGTTTGAGCGATAACACAGGCATGTGACAGAGTGGACTTCATGGAGTACAATGCCTGGAGATGTTTCAATAGCTTTTTCAAAGTCTTACATTTCATAGCTGCTGACATGACATTCAATTTCATGTCATTGAAAAAAGCCATCAAAATAACCGCTGATGGCATGATGGAGGGTCATAGATCCAGTCATGTCCCTTCAAGGCTCCACTCTACTGGTAACAACCACTCAACATAACTAGAAGCATTGGGCTTTCATCAGGGTATCCAAAACTGAGTTATAATCAATTACTCCAGCCAAGACCTTTTATCTATTTTCAGAAATATTTGTATCATCAGATCTATCCTGCAGCTCAGAAATATGTTCTTTTATAACCTTGCGAGTTGCAAAAAACTTTTGGGTGCACTAGTTTTTGTTTGGTTGTACCTTATAACTCTCTTGCTAATGCACAATTCTATCAAGTATAACATGTTGGGTATACAACAATGACAAAGGATGTTGCTTCCATAATTTGGACAATAACTGCTTCTAGGTCCCCCACACATTATTTGATGGACAAGATTGTCATGAAACAGAGCATCATATCACTATTGTGAGTTCATGTTCCAAGGTTGACAAACATGTTGGTTAACCCGAACTGAGCCTTGCAACCAATGAATGAACATGGCCAACTTGCCGTTGACTGAAACCCAGCTTAGGCTCAACTGCAAGCACCAAGAGCTTAATCAACCTAGATCATTCAGGTTAAGCCTAGCTAACAAGCATATGACCTTATATACTGCCAAAAAAATGCAAAAGGCCATGGTAGATTGAGAATTCTTTTCATCTAAAATCTCCAACGCAGAACCCAATATAGATATCTTGGTTATAAATAAAATCCATAAATTGTAAAAGAGTCGCTAATAGAGAACAATACACAAGGGAAGAAGGTTAAAGCCAAAACCTGAAACGGAAAACAGAACTCACCAATATATCAAAATCCTGTTCTTTGGGTGATTTTTCATCTGTTACTGGGATGCGTTCATAGTCGACAAGGAACTGCCTTGTTTGCAGCTCCAAATACACCTACAGTGGAGAAAAAAATACAAATAGATATAAGCAATGTTCAAAACGGCTATGAGGCGTGGCGTGGCAGCGAGGTCAAGCCTTAAGCCTTACACGCCACGGCGAGGACGCGGCATTTTTCAAAGCGTGACATAAGGCGGCAAATTTGTATGTCATATATAGAATTATATATACATATATGTTTTCTATATATTTTTCAATCAGATAATGATATTAAAAAATTTATATTCATATAGAAGAAGAAAAATTATATATATTATTATAAAAATAGTTTTTGATTAAATATTTATAATATAACTTAGAAGGGTAATTTTACAACTTTGTTTTAATTGTGAGTCCATGAAGTGAGTGATGTGATTAGATAAATCTATAGAAATGTAAAATCTACAGTTAAAAATGTGAAAGCTAAAAAAACTAAAAAAAGTCACGCCAAACGCACACCATGTCATGCCTTGGCATGTCTTAAGGCGCCATGGCGTGAGCCACACCTTACAGGAACGCTATAGGTCTTTTCGTAACGGCGGAGACGCGTCTTGCACCATATTGAGCCATGGCAGACGCCATGACGCACCTTTTTGAACGTTCAAAAGACCATTTGCTTCTATACAGAAAAAGTAGCATCTATGTACCTGCAGTGGTGTTTTCACAGATTCGGGTGTAACTGGCTCCCACTGGTCCACCATCTGACCATCTGGCAGTTCATCGGTTACTAGGATCTTATTTCCATATCTGTTTAGTAGCGCATTGAGATAATATGATGACTAACGAAGAGAAATGGTTATACACAAAAATATGTAAAAAAGAATACCTTGCAGCTTCTAGCAATATGTCTTCCCTCAACCGATCTTCCATTTGCTCTACTCTTGCCCTATTGATGCCCTATTCATAACATGAGAGTTTAGATACAAAATCTAGAGCCTTGGACATGCATTATTGAGCACTAGAAGGGTACTCGCGTAATGCAGCGAGATACATCTCGATATTAATGTTCTATTTTATTCTTTGTCTCTGTCGATGTTATAATACGATTTTATGTGTTTTTAAGAAAGCAATAATGATTTTATTGTTGGATAAAATATAACTTTGAAAATGTCATAAAAATTTAAAAATATATATATATCAATGTTAATATCAAATCAATTATTTAAAAGTTCTCATTTTTATGTAATTTTTTTTATTATAATTTAATTTAGGTTTAATAATGAAATAATTTATTTTTGGTTTATTAATATAACATTTTATAATATTAATACTTAAGTATTCTGTTAGAATTCAATGATTATCCTAATTATATTTTTTATATTTAAAATGAGATGTTTATCCTATATTTGATTATGTTTATCTGCAGTCAGTTATACGAATTCAGATATAAAGCTTTAATAAGTTGTACTTACGCACAATCTACTTGTAATCTTGAGTTTTAAGTAACATGCATTAATAAACAGTATTTTATGCATAAAAAGTGGTTTTTAAGAGTTTTGTAGTTTTAAGTAACATGCGTTAATAAACAATACTTTATGCATAAAAAGTGGTTTTTAAGAGTTTTGAGTTTTAAGTAACATGCATTAATAAACAGTACTTTATGCATAAAAAGTGGTTTTTAAGAGTTTTTGTAGTTTTAAGTAACATGCATTAATAAACAGTACTTTATGGATAAAATGTGGTTTTTAAGAGTTTTGAGTTTTAAGTAACATGCATTAATAAATAGTACTTTATGCATAAAAAGTGGTTTTTAAGAGTTTTTGTCAAATGCTTTATCTATACTATAGTATAGATTAAGAGTTTTTGTCAAATGCTTTATAATATAGTATAGATATACCACAGAACAAAATGCATTATGTGGTACATGGTTCCATCAGAGCAAGTTGAAGCTTAACTTAAGGCCTTGTGAAACCACAACTCTTAATACCATGTAAATAACGAGTTCATCTATAAGTTTAGCCTAGCAGATGAGAGACCTAATATCAGTATTAAGCTTCGGGTGATTTAAATAAGATATTAAAATATAAAGAGTCTGAAGTTCCAAATGAAAGCTTTATGCCCTTAGAAGAATAGACAAAGTTTATGTAACAATTTGAACTACATGGGAATTGACAAGCAAGGGAATCAGCAAGAGGTTCACAAACAAAAGTGATACAATGCCTCCCAATAGATTCTTAAATAACTTTTGTCTTTTATTAATTTAGGATGCATGTTGAAGCATGGATGGCCCTGTAAGATGAGGAGGTGGAGAGAAGAAAATGGATGTCACTCCTTTTGTTTTTCAATGAATTACAACAGAATTACTGTGAAAATTTCATGGTGTCAGAGCTCTGAAGGTGTTTTTCTTTTAATCAACAGCTGCTGCTTATTTGTCGGTGATAATCAATCAATAGCCGGAGCTCAATATGTCGGAGTCCGAACTAAATACCTCCACTGTCATGTCAGTACTTGACTACTCTCGATCATCGATGCAAATCACTGTGCATTTTTTGAATGTAAAAAACCATCTTGAATGGTCGCAATATGTGAAACTCGCCATTGATGGTCGAGGTAAGTTGACCTTCTTGACCGAGGAAACATCAAAACCCGGCCTCTTCTGATCTAGGATATTGTAAATGGTGTTCTAAAAACTCTTTAGTAACCGTGTGGCTACTCAATTCAACACCTATTGTCGATACTACGTAGCAGTCAAAATTTGTACGTCAAATAACATCAAAAGTGTTGGTTTCAGCAATTTTTGGATATCAAACGGACCTCCCCAGAAGGTTAAAAAATGAATAGATCCAATGTCGCACTCAGTAAAGATCCAGCCGCACCTTCCGGTAACGGCTACCTTGTTACGACTTCAGTCCAATCATCCTCAAAAAAGGAACCTTTGCTCTCCCCAACCATTTCACCATTTGAGTGAGACTTTTTGAAAAGAGTTGCTCTAAGGAGAGCATAGTATGATGCATGTGCATTGCCAAGCCATATATGTTCATGAAAACAACCAAGGAAGGGTAGGATTCTGCTTTGGCCACATAGTTGGACTTCAAGAACCCTTCCCAAATCTTTGAAATTAAAACACATCTGTGGTGTTACCTCTTACTACAACGAGATGGTAACATTATGGCAAGAGTCAGATCAATGCCGCAATGATGTGTAGGAGAATGATTGTGTGTTCATGTTCCTGGCTGGAGTTCACCCAAATCTCGATAAAGTTCCTGCCTAAAGCCTCTTTCATCCATTCAAGAAGTTTTTTCAGAAGTAAGACTTGAAGAAAGCCAAAGATAAGTGATGATGAATAGGATCCAATCTGTTGATGTTGGGGAAACAGCAACCCTACTTATTTGTGGCAAGAAACAAGGGAGTGATAAAAAAAAAACCTATATGACCATTGCAAGAGGTTATGGCATACTCAAGACAAATGTTGGGAGCTTTATGGCAAGCCTATAGGCCGGATGACCAAGTTCTCATAGAGCCCTTCACACCACAACTGAAATGACTCAAGACACTCAAAGCCAACCAGGGCAGCCTCAATTTACAAAGGATCAGATTGAGCAGCTCCTAAAATTGCTTAAAACCAGACTATGTCTTCTTCTGCTAACCCATCTTGTGGCTATATGCCATTTGGTAAAAATACCCATTCATCTTTTCATGTGCTTACAAAATACATCAGCTTGGATCATTGATTCAGAAGAATCTGATCACATGACTTCTTGTTCAACTCTTTTCTATTCTTTAAGCCTCGTGCAGGAAATAAAAAGGTGTGAATCGTTGAAGGCACTTTTTCTGCAATAGCAAGAGTTAATGAAATAAAAATATCACCGGACTTCATTCTTTCCAGTGTCCTACATGTTTCAAAACTCTCCTGTAATTTCATCTCTATTCATGAATTCGTTGTTGACCTCAATTGTTGTGCCCTGTTCTCTTCTTCCAATTGCATTTCTCGGGTAGGATGATTGGACATGCTACTAGTGTGATGGATTCTACATACTAGATGAGAGAACACACTCAAATACAGCTACCAAGAAGACTTCTTGCTTCAACACCACTTCTGATTTGGTAACAAGATTTATTTATGGCACTTTAGACTAGGACATCCAAGTTTTTCTTATTTAAAACATTTGTTTTTTGTGTTATTTGGTAATAAAAACAAAAACAAGAAGGGTATGTGTTGGGAGCGTTAAATAATTGGCATGTTCAACAAATATCAACTACTAACAAAGTAACAATTACATATCTTTGTGACAAGTTAAGCCGCATTTTTGAACGATGTTATCAGCATATTCTAGAACTTCGACTTACTTTTTCAATATACTTAGGTTCAGGACATTAAACAATCAACACAATATAAACTTTTTAGTATTTAATGGGATAATTATAGGACTTCTAGTAAAGCACACCATCTGCCAGTGAACAATGTGATTAGTAAGAATATTGTGACAAGTCGAGACAAAATTCATAACCCAATCCCATTACCATCCTATAATTTGTCTGCAATTCAACAACCGCAAAGTCACTTTTTTTTATCAAACTATTTCTTTATCATTGCTATTTTTTTACTTTTAAGACCGAGTACAATACAATGTCATAAGCTCCAATTATAGCATAGGTATTACAAAAAGCGATTCTTTTTTGTATACTTATAGTTCAAGGAAGTGGGAAAAGCCGAATATTTCACATAGCGCTTTTAATCAATATGATTTATTTCGTACCCTTCGCTCCATAGCTCTTTTTAAAAAATTTCCTCTTTATTTGGTAATAAGCCTACTTTCGAATTTTGTTTTCTCTGTAATCAAGTAATTGGTAATTTTCAGCAACCCAACTTAATGGCTCCATTTAAAAACCATTAAGTTGGTCACGTACCAGGAACTTGACCATTTTTAGAAGGGGAAATGGTGATTTTCCTATCATCCTCCTCAAACTTAAATATGAAACAATAAATCTCAAGAACACCAAATAGAATCAAACATCTTCCTCTTGTCTCCTGAATATTAAAAGGAAACTATTCATCCTCTTCAACATTCAAGGAGACCAACATACAGATATGGTATCACATTATTATTGTTATAAAAAAAACACCGAGATAAATGAACAAACCCTAGATATTTTGTTCAATTTTCTATCATCCTTAAACTTCTCTCAAAACACACCCTAATATCATTTCCCAGGGTGTTCTCATATACCATGTTTCCAAGTGTTGAAAAGTTTTCAAAATACTACAAGTTAGTGCGCAATCCAATTTACTCTGTTCAATTAAACAGATATCGAAATAGCGTTAATTGTTGTGTGGATCTATTAATAATATATAAATCTTGTTAATTAGCTAGTTATTTGGTAGTCTTGATGATAGCCATTTGTTTAGATTTGATTTAACCAATTAGGTCTCGATTTAATCAAAAACTTCTTACCACATTATATAATATGATTGCCATGTGAAACTTTCTATTCTTATTGTCAAGTCCATCAATTATTCATACAAAGTGATGTTGGTTTTCTCCTGATAGACAACAACAAGAGTTGTCCCTTTTGGGAGGTTTCCAAAACGTTGTTCAGATTGGAGTCGATAGGGCTTTTAAGAGGTGATAGAAAAAGCAACTAAAGATGCAACTGATTGCCTTTAAAAGCCAAGAGAAGACCTGATAACAAAAGTTGGAGGTTTACTAGGGTCATGACTTGTTGCTTTTGCGACCAATGGAGATGTAGTTTCACTGTCAATTGTTTTGAGGTTAGCAATTGGCGGTTCCCTTGAAGAAATATCATCTTTCTTAATTATTGTAACTTGAAGTAATGATGAATAATGATAGACCCAAAAAGGATTGGTAGACTAATCAAGGGTTTTACCATCTCTTTATGCATAACTTAATTGTTGATGTTCAGATCTTTTTGCTCTAGATTTAAGTCGGTCATGAACGGCAAAAGTGTGATTCACCACATAGTTCAATGGCAGATGGTGTACATGACAATGTTTCAGTACTCATAAAATAATAGTCTTAAAAAAGTGGCAACAAGAAGTTAGTTTTGTTCAAAATAATCTTTAACGGGGTGACAAAGTGGTTTTAAGAAGAGCAACCAATTACGAGACACATGGTTATAACAGGTACAAACTGAAGTTCAAAGCAAACACATAATCAATCTAATATATGAAGCCAAAAGGACAACAAAGCATTGTGGTTTGAGTAGAAAAAGAGAGAGAGAATAAGCACACCGTGTATTCAAGATTGGAGAAGGGTCTCTCAACCTCACGCAAGACAAATGGCCGTCCATTAATATAAACCACCTGTTTCAATAATTTTTTTAGCAATGTTATATAATGCAGAAGGTGCACCAAGACACAAAGATCACCCTAGGACCAAGGAAAACGCAAGGCACGCACACATATGTATAGGTATATACATATTTATAGATATCTACATATCATACGCACAAATCAAAACATTGTGCATGTCTATATGTAGATATTTATACATATATACACAGGGTTGGGTTCACGTGAGACCAGGTTGTTTTCGTGAGACCCGTGAGACCACATTTTTACACTTGAAACTTCACAGCAAAAACACTGTGAAGGTTTAAAAAAGTCGAACCTTCACAGCAAAAACACTCTGAAGGTTACCTTCACAGCATTTTGCTGTGAAGTTTCAAGTGTAAAAAGATGGTCTCACGGGTCTCACGAAAGCAGGCTGGTCTCACGTGATCCCAAGTCTATATACATATTGGGTCATTTAGAGATGTATACATACATATTAACATCAACAACATAAATCATTCAGGCATCAAATTACCATCAACTACCAAATCATCACTTAGCATTACCAACATCATATCCATCAATTCCATTCCATAATTTCAAGCCCGTAAGCAATTTCATTAGAAAAGAACTGAAGTGAAGGTCAAAGACAAAAAGGCCATCCTGAAGTAAAGTGAATGCCCTCAAGGTTCATTTTTCGATATTTCTCTTTTGTGTAGTATATTAGTTAAAAGTAGTTAATGGTCTAAAACTCATTTAAACTTGAAAAGGCCAACTAAGAATAATTATATTCATAAAATACCCACAATTGACTTTTCCCTTGCTTGACTAAATCTTGCACCTTGGAGAATGAGGGACATGCCTTCTCAAGGTTGGCCTCATTCTAGGCAAGGCCTCAAAGTTGCACCTTGAGGTTCTCATGTCTAAGCATGTGCTTAGGTGCACCTTTCACAAGAATGAGTGCTAGATACATAGGATGGGTGTTGAGTCAATATTTTACTGCTTTTAATATGATACAAGAACTGAATGGCCACACCCATGTCCCTAATACGAAATCTAAGCTTGACAAAGCAACCATTGTGGCTCCTTTCACCATACATCATATGTGTACAGTGTACTCTCCAATGGGTTATATGAGCTTATTTTGATTTTTCAATTGGCAATTATTGAGCATGGCTTGTTCAAGAAAAAGTTTAACCTTTTGATGAAATCTAGTGAAGTAAATATCGTTGTCAAAGTAACTTCACAATCGCGTTACTACAATTGTCACCTCTTAATGTGTAGGCATCATTGCATTATTGTCATCATTGATCTTCATCATTTATTCATGATTAATCGGCATCATTGTAGTGAATGGTTATTGCCTTCACATTGTTTTCATTTTCTATTATGATTCATTGGTACTCATCGTCTATTGTCTTGGATTACTCGAGAAAATGGGAGGTATGCACAAAGTTAATGAGATTGAATGTCATTATATTTTTGAATCGCCCATGCCATTTTAATTAGACTACAGAAATTGAGCAACATGTGATTCCTTAAGATATATTGACTTGATCCGTTCATCGTGATATTTTGAGATTGTTATAAGCGTTTTACAAATTAACATAGGGGAAAAATCTTTGATACCTTGCTGATCAGTTTTCAACGGTTAGTGAGGACACATGATGCTCTTGATTCTTCTAGGCTTTCCCAACTAACACGGCCTTTTAGGTTTCTTTAATTGTACTCTTTTGTATTCCATTTGGTTACTACAATTTCTATGAACTGTAAATATAAGAAGGAAGTCAGTAACCGAAAACTTTAGTTTGGTCTTTGTTGGTTGTCAAATCCCATTTGGCCCTTCCGATCTGCAGATCTGTTATGATCCCTAAAGTTGATAATTTTCAGCTTTCTATAGCAAGGAACAACAGAATTATACTGATGAACCTATTATTATACTTGATTCTTTCAACATGTCTTTTGCATCCTTTTCTTTCCTAGTCATGGTTTTATTTTCTATTCAGATTCATATCCACAACATGTTTTCAAGGTTGGCACCTACCTTCTTTCCTTAGATAGGTAAGTACCTGCATATTATAACTACCAACTATAAGAAGTCAACTAGTACTTAGCCAATGGCAATGGAGTTCTAGCTACAGGCTATGATGAAATAAAGTGAGTTTCATGGGAAGACATTTAGTCTAGGGACCAGTATGACTCATAAGTTCTTAGAACAATAATTCATCATCGACAATTAAATTAACTTAGTATTATAAAAGCATTTGCTAAACTTATTCTCAAGGAGGTACGCATGTGTATATATAAAAATATATATCTAAGGAGAAGATTTTAGTCTTTTATGGTTCTTATAAAATGTGGAAATTAGTAAATATAAAGAAAAAACCATAAATGGTAGTGTTACAAAAATATTTGATTGGCTCACTATTTATAAGATTGATCATTATTTATTTCAACATGTATGTTATGCATTTTGATTATTTATTTCAACATGTATGTTATGCATATTGAACCAATCCTCTAATCCCAAGTATGAAAGTAGACAATGTGAAAATAACACTAGTTTTAAAACTTGTATGCTTCTGCTCTCTGCCAACGGAAGTTCTCTAGCACCCCAACATCCATAACAATACATTTTAAATAGTGTGAGTAATTATTTAGGACATCTTTTCTTACATGTTGCCTACACAACAAGACCTGTCAATGAGTTATTGTGATAAACCTGTGGAAGCATAAAAAGATAAGAAGGTTTGCCAATTTTTAGAAAGTATTGATGTAAAGAAGGGGAAGCACTATACTGGTTCCTCGCGAAGGTTGATCCAAAGAACATTTGCTTGCTTCCCATCCATTTGAGCCCCAAGATATGTAAGAACATTCCGAATCCCATCAATAGTTGGGATCGCAACACCATGCACATGCAATGATTCGGCCTGATAATTTTCATGCAGCAAAACCAGCCATTCAATGGTTCAATAAAGGAAAATATAATGTACGAAAGGCAGAAAAGCCTCCAACAAACACACACTACAAGAATAGTGAAGAAAAGCAAAAACATAGCATAAACAAGTGGGAACTCGTCAAACTAATCACTCATTTATGAAATTAAAAACCAAAGGCATAGTGGGGCACAAATACAATGCTAAAGGACCAAATGATTTCTGTTTAAAAAAAAAGACCAATTTGTTTCTAGGCCACTACAAATAATATGCAATACCATCAAAATCTGCAGCACGATTCCAGTAAGTAATATACCCATATAGGTATCCTTTTCTTGTTGTCTAAATAACAAAACGGCGGTGTCATTACATCTATAAAGTGTGGAACGAGAAATTAGGCACTAAAAGATTTAAAAAGATCGTTGCTTGTAACGCCAAGAAAAGAGGGGTGCATCTGAAAATATTCAGAAAGAGGAAGAAACAATAAAAAAGTAAGAAAAACCTGACGATAATTTGGGGCACCGTCGATTTGGGGAGACAATCGCTTGTTCTGACATCCGGGAAAATGGTCGCTCTTGAGAATGGTCTTTTTCCCAAGCACGGATCCATCTCTTTGCTTCATCACCTGCTCCGGCTCTTTGGGTATTGACATAGCCCGATCGATTCCTATCTATCCGAGTATCTGACCTAAGTATATATAGTATGCCGACGATGATGACGATGTTCCTTCTTCAAAATTGAGACTGGTAATACTAAATCGGTACCTGTAAGATACACTTGAACGACTACTTTGAATCACCCCCACAGTTGATTTACCACAAGAAAAGATGGTGAGTTGGGATTCATTCAGGGATTCGATGGAAGACTAGCAAACCAAACTATTAGATGGAAGACTTAGGCAAAGAGAAGAAGGGTGGGATTCATAGACGGCGGTACGGCACAGACAGACAGTAGTAACAACAACGAAAACAAAGAACGAATTGGGATGGATAATTTGCTAGTGGTGTAGATTTTTTCTGGAAGAGCATTTTTAATGTGCAAACTTCTTTGAGATTTATTAGTGAGTTAATCCAATTGATTTTCTTTTACATTTATTTATTTCATGTTCTATTAATCATAATTAATTTCTATTTTATTTAAAATAACAAGAAATTATACCAGGTGTAATAAATAACGGAAATAACAATCTGTCTATATCTATATCTATATCTATACTATATTATAAAGTATTTGGCTAAAACTCTTAAAAACTCTTAAAAACTCTTAAACTCTTAAAACTCTTAAACCCGTTCATCCCTAAACAATTTCATCCCTATCCGATTTCATCCCATAACT